ACTTCTTAAATTTCGTCCCTCAATATTTGGATGAAGTAGATCAGATTCGGTTGGCACTGGAGACATATAACCTGGTTGGCTGCGTAAAACATTATTATAATATTCTTGATTTGGAGGTTTTAAATGATCGTATTTAGAAACATCATCGTTTTGTGAATGGTTTTCATTCAAATCTGACGCTGGGTTGTTTGTGTCTCCTACAATAGCTGGATTTTGTACGCCTGAATACTCTGGTCCAACAATAACATTTGGTACTGAAAATTTATTAATAATATTTTAGTTATTTCTATATAAACATTATTATATTCAAATATCTTTATAAATTGTAATATTAACTCAATTGCTACATTTATAAAATGAAAACATACTGTTATTGTCAGTCAAATATTTTTTAATTATTGATTAAATTTCAATTTTCAGATTCACTAGCCTTATAATATAAATAAAACTCACCCACTACATTAATAACTAAAGCAAATAAAAAGAAAGACAACATTTTGACTCTCACAATACACTTTTATTGGTGCCTTGTTTTACACAATACTGAATTATAGCGTCCGCTTTTCCATTATAAATGATTAAAAAGTAAACATTGTATTAACGAAAGCTGATCACACAAAACCTATTCTTCTGTTCAATGTAACTCAACCTACGTTATCAATAAATTGTATGTTATATTTATTCTTACGTCACAATAAGGTTTCAGCTAGATATAGGTACAACTTTGTTGAAAGAAAAAACAATTATGTTACCCAGAAATTTCATTGTTTGTATAGAAAATAAAGTCAATAATAAATAAAAATGATGTTATATATTACTGAATTTTATATATAGTCTCTATGATGTGATAAGTAGTGTAGTTAACGAAGAGGTGTCAATTAAAGCGGAATTATTTGAAAAAAATACGAGCAGAGTTTCTTATCAATTATTTGTAGCTCGAAAGCATTTCGAACTGACGATAGATTTGATATATCATAGGTAATAATGATTTGATTTGAATCAATCAATACTACTGTAATCAATAGTGTTAAATAAAATAGGTGAAGAAAGAATGATAATTGTTATTATATCGATTCATTATTATAGATATCAACAAAAATAGGAAATTTACTGTATCATCAGCATTATGAAAAAAGTGAATTAAATGAGTGATATATGAAACAAGTGGTTTTAATATATGATTAGAAGAAGAAGAAAAACATGGGAAGGAAGGTACGGAGGGCAAAAGTAAAAGAAACAGAGAGAAAATTATAATCATGATAATATAGAAATTTCAGGTATACTATGAGGTAGTGCCAAGGATAGACAGCAATATCAAACCAAAACCATCATAGAAAAATCAAAATAATAGTCTCCCGAGTAGAAATGGCAATTATAAAGAAATGTATATAAATGTACAATAATATTTACTAATAATTAATTTAGTTATATAAGTATACTTTAATTTGTATTTTTTTATTATGTACAATATTAATGATTGAATGTTACATAATGTCTAAATAAAATCTTATTTATTATATTGTTATTACACTTAACACCCAAGAACATGAGCATTTAAATTTCGTTTATTGTGAACCAGCCCTAAAAGTTTAAATACGTTTTGAGCCTCAAGACACATAAATAATAAGGCGTATTTCATAATTTCCGTGTCTTGTTTGTTCATATTATTCGATACAATGACGTTCTAATTACGTATAACAAACATGTTTTTAGAAACAATTGAATATATACGTCCATTACACCAATTTCTTTGTATTTTCTAGATTAAATTTTCAAATAAGTAGGCGATCAACTGTTGTATTGATAGTAGATATATTCCCGATATTTCTACATGCTATTATAGACCTACAAAATACAACATTTCAATAGTGTATGAATCTTGGGTTACAGAAATATAAGCTCAAAAAACACGATTTGTTTTCAGCAACTCTCTTTTGAGGAAATAAAAGTAAAGAATTTATTTCGTCTTGATCATATATTATAAAAGAAAAATCAATAATCAGACCCATTAAAGCAAAAGAAAGATGTTTTATTATTCTAGATTGAAAAATGATGAATTTCCATACGCTCTTTTCATCCCCTATTTTATTTTTCCCCCTTAAATGTAACATTTTTCCAAACTTTGGATGTCGTTATGTATATTTAATCAAAAGCCTAAAATTGTGGCTATTTGTTTAATATCAAATGCATATTTTGATATAGATCTAGCTGTTAGCCGCTACTCACGCAGCTGAATCTTTCGTCCGCTACTTTAACCTTATATATATTATTTTTGAGATAATAGACATCTTATGTATCTTCCCTTGATACGATCTATCTTCAGCTTCCATTAAGATTCGTTCAGCTACGTGGAGATACATTACATGCATACTAGTCCTGAATAGTAGGAAACTCCTTCCTTATTAATACTTATTTACATGTTTGACTTTAAACGTGACGTAACACAGACGTACAAGTTGCCTGTGATGATCATATAACGTCGGTGGTACTGTTCATGTCAATATGTTTATCAGTTTGTTTGTTATTTATTAAGATATGGGCATAGTGGTCTAGTGGTTAAGCACCTTACTTCCATCGGTGCTCATTGCAGCTTTATTTTCATGAGTGTATTATCTGGGTTATTAATCTGGGTATTTTATATATGCATTCATAATATAATATAATAATAATATCTCAGGACAATTCACACAACGTCATCTAGTCCCCGGTTTAGCTTCTGTTATGGACATAGACAATTGATATAAATACATAGGAAGGAAATATTTTTGTATTCAATATTTGTTATAATGGAACGTATAATGAAGGAGAATGAATGAATATGCATGAGTGAGTGAGATTGACAGATAGAAAATTAGATGCAATAGATTAGGTCATTCATTCTTGTTACGGTGTTCTCAGGAGATGGTCAATGGTGTTATTTTTTTTTTGTAATTATAAGAAGAGTTTTAAATACAGTAATACGAAGCAACAAATTTTCATTTCGAAAACCCTTGATCCCACAGATATATATTTTTTCGTAAATGCGTCCATATAAGACATCCAGACCTGTATAAACAATTATACTCATGAATACAAATGTTTGAACCGTGCGAGGAATCGAACTCACTCCCATCGAAAATAAAGCGTTGTGCTAAACCGCTAGACTATCAAGGCTGTCAAATTAATTAAGGCTGACTAATTTAGCATCCATAACACTAGAACTCTGTTTAGCTTAGAACTAGAAGGCTCTGTGTGAATTGCACAACATTATTATTATACTATATTCATGATTGAAATATGATGTTTCTAGAAATGTAGTAATGAATAATGATATATAGCAATGAAACGTTCTTGGAAATGTTATTGACTGCAGAGTTATCAGTCCAAGGCTGTCTAAATATTGATCAAAAGTGCAGAACGAACGGCTGTGTCCATTGTTTGTGTACCTGATGAATGACGACCTACATACGGAGAGGACTAACAATTGAGCAAATATTAAGCAGTCTATCAACTATTATATAAATGCGTTACTGTATCTATACGTGCTATTATATAAATGCGTTACTGTATCTACATTCTATGCGGTTGTTGTTCAATCATGCATAAACAAAATAGATATCCTTTGGAAAGTACACACTTCATCTTGAGGAGATAAAACATTCGCTACTATTAATATGCTTGAATTATTTTTTGACAGGCCTCTGAAAATGGATAAGCACAATAGATCTTCATAGATCGCAGTGCTACAGATCCATAATACCTTGTAATAGCCGAGGAGATTGTTAGTAATGGGGAATAGTAACCCAAGCAATGGACAGTCACATGTCAGGTTGACCTCTACAAGGTTTCCACTAGAAACTTTCGTCGCAAATTCTCGTACTTTTTCTCATCATACTCTACTGGTGCCCCGCCAGCGTATACCGATTATCACCTATAAAAAAATATTTATATAGTTCAAAGCCAATATTTCAATAAAAAAAGTGTGTTTGTCTGAATATCTGTCTCTTTCTTACCTTTGAGGGCAACCATAAATAACGTTAGGTCCTCCCCTCGTCCTTGGCACAGCTGGTCACATTTGTGTACGTTCCCTCTCCCCAATGTGACTTTACATATTTTGGGATTTTACGTTAATGGTTAAAATTTCGTATCAATAATTTATATTATTATTAAATATAGGACCCCTCACACCACCTTGTTTTATTATGTCACAATTTAAGAATAATTTTGACGTATGTTTACTGTGTCTACATTACTCAGTATATCTAGACAAGATTAATTTATTAGGTGAATTGCCAGTTAAACCAAGTTTTTAAACCTTTCAATTTTAAGTAATACAGTATATTAATCTGTGGAAGATATTGTAAGCAATAATTAGCTAATTGGCTAACTTTCTGTTTAAAAAAGTCAGCGTTACGTAATAAGCATACGTGCGTACCTTTTTCTACATAGTTGTTGATGAATAGGTGTATACACTGTTTAGTTTGAATACATGCCTATTTTAATCAATAAAAAAATCAAGTAATTGTAGACGTGCATCTGTCTGTTGCCTTTATTTTTGTGTCTGTTATTTTTCACGGCTAAACGGCTGAATCTTCATAAAATTGGAAGTAACAGTAGATCATAAAACGTTCGTTTAAACAGTCCACTTGATGGTAAGTGATAACTGTCGACGTTAGACATGAACAGCATTGCAGCACACGTCATCAAGTGAATACGATGTAATTAATGACTCTTATTCTATAATTTCCCTACCTTATCTCACCTTACAACTGATATACATTTTACAAACCAAACTACAGTTGAAATTTGTGATACTCAGGTCCTTATTTGAGAGGAGTTTTTACAATGGTTTTAATATTATGGTATAAATATAATAGACATCCGTGACATCTATATAAAAATGTTAGTAAGATTAATTAAACTACAGAAGAACCTTCGAAGATGAAAACTAATTTAAAATAGTACGCACTTCATTCATCTATCGTTAGATGGCGCTAAAGCATTATTCTGAACAGTGCGATATTGAGAAGGTTATTCCTAAAGTGGAAAAGTGTTAATTTATTTCACAGTCAAGTTACAGTCGTTGAATAACAAATTATACTCTAGAAATGGCGTTCAAAGTAATTATTTTCTCTCTATTACTATTGTTTTGTTATATGAAAGGTATGTGCAATAAATATGTTATAATTCTATTAATTACTGTCAGTTCATTGTTAACTGTCGCTCATTTATTGCAATGACTAACCGAATACACCAAATAATTGAATAACACAGTGTTATAGCAATTATTTTGTTATTCGGTTAGAACGCTAGAATCTAAGTGTTCTCAGACAGTGCAGTTTTAAAGAAGCTACCTCCCGTGTACCTCTCGCATAGACTTAGGTTGTGGAATGAACTTCCTGCCGAGGTTTTCATATGAGACTACAGCATTGGGGTTTTCGAGAAGAGTATATTAAGGTTTCTTAACGATCGGCAACGCGCACATGACACTCCTGGTTTTTCAGGTGTCCATAGGCTACGGTAATCATTTACTATCAGATCGGCCGTATGCTTGTTTGCCACCATCGTAGTATAAAAAAAATACCTGGTAATTTGGTTAAGAACAAAAATGTCTATAACTTATATTTTGTTTTAGAAATAGATTAGACACTACCTACATAGTGTTATAATAAAATCTTTTAGGCCTTTGAAATAGGTGAGAAAGAAGTTTTGTACAAAGTGGAGTTCTATATAAGTTGTTGTGATTATTTCAAAAAAGACGTTTTTACAAGAGATTTAAAGTGAGGTTTACCTATTACGATACAAAAATGTTACTGATACTGTATAACTTAGGGCTGGATTATGTAAAGTCAATGTAAATTAACTGGTTTAAATCCACAATCAGTTTATCACATCCATAGTATATATAAAGATAATACTCTAAAAAATAATTTTCCCACACTAATTTATAATAACATCTCTGAACAATTCACAGCGCACAGAACTAGTCCCAAGAGGCATATTTATTTTTGGAATAATTTACATAGAAAACATCCATACAAAAACAAACAATTATGAATGAAGTCACGGACACAGCTAGTATATAATGTTAGGAATAAAAAAATAAATTATTGGATATAAACTAAACGTACTAATATTGAACTCCACGTCTCCCTGATTCTCAAATATAAAGCAATTTTAAAACCATGAAGATTTCTAATTGTTATTTACGTTTTCTTTTATTATAGCCGAAACTAATTGTGGGGATAATGAGGTATTAGACAATTGTCCTACAAGTTGCGCGTCAGAGTACTGCCCCACGAAAGAAACTAAGCCCCAGGAATGTCCATTCCCCGATCCGTGCCCCGAACCAGTCTGCCGATGCCAATTTAACTACCGCCGTGCTGTCAATGGGACTTGTATACCTAGTGCTCATTGTCGTAAGTACATAAAAATATCTAATTACTTATTCATATTATTTAGAATTATTTATTAATTAACATATGTTATATGTGTTCAAAATAATAATTTACTCTTTATTATGCACAGAGAAGAAATATAAAAAAAAAGTAAGTAAAAATGTAATAACAAAAGGCGGTCTTATCGCTATAGGCAGTTTATTACAGACAACCCGGAAAAGAATACTAATAAACACCGTAAAAGTAGATGGCACACATAAGACTCTAGACTATAATTATTAAACAAATAAATAGACACTTGATAAAATAATAGCATTGTTAAATTGTAGATTTTTAATGGAAAGGAATACGAAATTGGAACCACAAAATATTTTAAAAATTTGATTATATTTTGCAGGTATAATAAAAAGTCTTTCTCTGCATCAATCATAGTTGACTGGTAGATGACGCCGCCTGGGTATTATTTCTGTGCATGAAAGTTAAATATATATTAATAACCCTAGACCTTGCTTGACGTTGAATATGAGTATTTATCTACGCTCTACCTCACTAAAAACTACAACCAAAGTAGTTATTTAGCTATTAAAATTATTGTTGTCATCAATACTACTTCTAATAATAATAATAATACTTCTAGATTAAAACAAAACGAATACTTATAATATAAACAACAAAAAATACCCCACGATATCTCATAGCTTACATAAAATGAATTGTATATAAATTAATACATAGGTAATTATAAAATAGTCCCTATTCTTTTTTCTTTAAATGACATATGTTCTTCTGCAAATATATATAAAACGAATATGTCGCTAGAAAATTTACATGTTAATTGCATAATGTATTATATATTATTCTTTTTATCTGTCTTATTTTTTAATGAACATATCTTCCGTTATAGATTACTTCTTTTGCTATAACAAAATATTTAACAATTTATATGAGTGTTATAATATGTAATTTATTTCATGACTCACGTATATATTTCATTAGCATAATAAAAGTACAACACACGAAAACAGACCAATTATTTAAGCAAGAAGTGTACAATCAATTTCTTAAAATAGGAATTGATATGCATTTCAACACGGATACCATGGTGACACTTTAAAAAGTGCATTAGATATGCTATATAGGAGGCACATATTATCTGTATAATATTTCAGATAAACAACGTCAACTTCATCAATATTCTGTAATAAATCACTAGAGGCAGACTAATTCTCACTGGTATACTTGGTAATGGCGATATAAACTACTAAAAAGTATTAAATAGAAAGAATAAAAAAATATATAATGTAACAAAAATATATCAAGATATTATATATTTTGATATATTTTTGTTACATTTATTTTAAAATAATATTTAAAATGAGTAAAAAACAATTTGTAAGCATTCTATATCGCTAACAATAAAATACAGGATAAGAGCTAAACTAGGCGCCAGAAATAAATGAGCCATGGGAACCGACACCTACGACTTTTAAGAAAAAGGAGTTTTTTAAATATAACATAATAGTCAATGTCTAAATTATTGTTTTGTTTTACACTTCATAATAATATGTTAACCTATAAAATTAATTTTGTTTTTAATGATAAAATTAATAATAAATAAAATTTTATATTGCCGCAGGACACACACGATTAGATTTTATTATTCATTAAATATTAATAAATAATAAAAAATATTTAATGTTTAGATACTATACATTAACATTTTATTTTTGTTATATTGTATTTTTTATGTATGTCCATTAAATAGGTAACATGCTGAAAATGACTAGGCATCCAGTGACCTTGTATGAAAAGATTACCTAATTAATGTAATAGCGAAATAATATTTGAATTAAAAGTCTTTCCATTTACTCTGCCTACCTTGAAACTACAAGAAGCTTCCTACGTAAACTTTTTGTAGTATACCAAAAATAAAGAGCTTTTTAATAAGGACCAGAGCTCTGACCAACGGTCCATATATATCCAAAGTCGATAAATAAATATTATTGCGACTCTATCCAGTATATTCTGACACTATCAATTTTTTGCAGCACCATTCCCATGCACCGGGCGAAATGAACATTATGTTGCTTGCCCACCGCTGTGTCCCAGTGATGACTGCAGCCAGGCCACACCAACTGGAGACTGTCCATCACCATTTCCCATCCTGATAGTGGTCGCCTGCGCGCCTCAATGCCGTTGTATAGACCACTATTGGCGGAAGAACGGAACCTGCGTACCCTACGCTCAGTGTTTTAAGGAAACTTAATTTGTGAATTTTTAATTAAATTTAACAGAATGCTGAAAAGGAATAATCCATGTTCATACTAATACCACAAATGCGAAAGTATGTGTTAAGAACTCTCTGGTTCATGTAAAAAAAATATTATATTTGAAAAATATACCATCCTTGTCAACTTTGAACATTGGAAAAAAAGGACTGTAAATTTTGACTTCATTGTGAATACAAGAGTTTACAATAGTTTACTTTCCTCTTTTATTAATACCCTATTATCGAACCTAATTATAATTACAATTAATTATTTATAATTAACTGTTTGCTAACTTTCACGACAAAACGTCTGAACGGATTAAATTTGACATAGGCATAGACTGTATTACGATGACAGATACATATTTAGTATTATTCTATATGTATGTTATATACTTTTACGGCCTTGGTAGTCTGGCAGTCTAGCACCGCCTTGCTTCCGATGGTCGCAGGTTAGATTCCTCGCACGATAAAACATTTGTATTAATGATTATGATTATGTATTTAAATAAAGATGTCTTTACGTATCTCTAACAGCTATCTAGTCTAGTAACAGTCATGGGTTGATAATGTTGTTTTTCTATTTCTACTTTGAAGTTCACATCTTGGTGACTGTTTGTTCAGTTAAATTAATGTTCTACCTAATATATGAGATATATATATAGAGGCTAGGCACACCCCTTATGACTAACTCTCTGTAAATGTGATGGATACTTTATTATCTGATGACGATATGAATGTAACTGGTGATTCAACTTATTTGTATCTCTGAAAATGATTATTTTATTCATTGGATGATTATTCAAAGACTTATAAATTTTAAACATTTCAAATTTTGCAAGATACTGCAATTAAATTGATTCATTATATAATCAAGGGTAACTTTGTAAACTTGTTTTTAATTTTTGTGGTAACAATTGTATTTAAATTATTTTTATTACCTTATGCCTATACAAAGACTACTTATGTATACCACAGTGTTTTAATACGTAATTCAATGTTTTAAAATTTCAAAATATTATTTTCCTATAATATTGTTTTATCTAAGCCTTGTTCATTTGATACATATGTACAGCCTTGAATAAAAATATAAGTAAAATAAAAAACTCCTTAGAAATTCCTAATCTATATACATTTACTGATCCTCAGGTTATGAAATGTTCTATTCAAGGACCATAGGACTCGAAAACTTGATACGAAATTGACGGAAAATAATTATATCTGCAAGAGAAGGCCGATAGTACAATACGGATTTCTTTATAATATTTATTTCAGTACAAACCTTAGATACTTTTAAGTAAATTCTAACATTATAAGGTGGCAAATACTTTTGACCAATTGAGAAATTTGTTCCTAAGTCACGCCTATGTTCTCCTAAGTCTACATGTACCTAATTTTATAGTCACGTATACTTACTATTAAAGCGTATCTATTTTATTCAATTTATAGCAATTTTATAGCTTTCGTATAGTTAAGTTGTCATAAACTGGATGAAATAAAAAAATAATGATTTCACTACAATCATGGCTGGTAACACGTGTGAGAGTTAATAATAAAAAAAAAACACTTAATTCGAACACAATATAAAGTCGAGTACCTTAACGTGGTAGTCACTTATCCATCACATCTCTAGATAGATACATCAGATACATCAGTACATAAGCCCTCATAATGAAGTTTCTTTTCTATTTGGGATTATTTATAGTAACGGCCAGTTTTGCAGGTGAGAACTAAATATATTTTCAAACGACTTCAAAAAGGACATTCACTTTTAAACTATAATTTCTGTATATACTATTTTTACTTACTTATATACTATTTTTTTTTTAATGACAATGTAAAATTCGAATCCGAATTTTTCAAATTCAAATATTTATTCATGTAGTACATTTTAGCCGCTTATGAACGTCAATTTTTTTATATAATAATTTTTCCCCTGACAGTCTACCATCTGTTTGTCAGTCTGTCAAACGAGCTGACAGTCTAACAGTTTATACCTTGTAAACGTTGTTTATATACACTTAGGATACAAACAAATAACATTTATTTCATACATGAGTATTACGGAGCATTACGGAGATCTGTTTATACTGCGACGCCCGTGATACCACTCATACATGGATAAAAAATGCCGTACCGTAATTGTTTCTTAAATATGAAACTGTTCTATCCTTTTCTTTTATGTTAAAGAAAGTGGGACAGAAATAGATCAGGTTATTCGTTTCCTAACACTAAAACGTATAGAGAACTAATTAGCAAACTAACCGTTGACCCACCTAATAGAAAATGGTAACCGTCGCTAACATATATTCATGGATTATATGAAATACACACACATAAACATTGCAACGCTTCCATGCCTCTCATGTATTGCCATTCTTGAAAACTATGTATTTTTTATGCCTTATAATTTCATTACCATATTGACTCTAATACTAGGACATATATTAAAAATCAATAAATAAGAACTAAGATGTTCATGCATCTTGTCTGCTTTGTCTCACAACTAACTGTGCCCGCGGTTACGCCCTCGTGAAAGGCCGCCTATGTGTTATTATGATGTATAGCTATAATATACTGTTAAGTTTCGTCAAAATCCATTGAGTAGTTTTTTTTGTAATATTAGTACGATTACAATTTTATTTAATGAGACTCTATAATATTTTTTTGTAATGGTTGCTAGCAGGCGATGTGCTAATCTTAGCCATGGTTTTAATATTTTTTACAGCTGCAATAACATGTGGAAGCAATGAAAATGAAGTCGAATGTCTTCAGAATTGTACATTTGACTCCTGTCCTAAAAGTCAAGATGAAACAAATTTATGCACGAATAATACGGGTAGCGATTGCCAACCAGGATGCAAATGCGATGTCAACTATCGCAGAGCCGAGAATGGAACCTGTATACCAACTACAGATTGTCGTAAGTTTAATATTAATATAACATAATATGTATAGATAACTAGTTATTATTCGCGACTTTATCTGTTTTTTACAAAATAAAAAATGCTTCTGTCTATTTCCTTCTAATGTAACTTACAAACTAATCAATTCAAAAACACCACAAGTTTTAAGCTTTGCGTTGATCAATGAACCAGGATACAGTATTTCATATGTTATATAATAGTTACCTTTTCATAAATAATATTTATAGGAACATTAGACTTCACCAACTTTTAATGTCCTTGTTTGTATTCTTTTCAGCACCATTTGCTTGTCCTGGACAAAACGAATACTATCACCCTTGTCCACCGGACTGCACCGATGATTATGATAGTATATCATGCAACGGAACTTGCAAGAATACGACCCTAAATACACCAAACGAATGTGTCCCTAAGTGTAGGTGTAAAAATGGATATGCCAGAAATTTTATTAAGACTTGCACTTTCATTGCAGATTGTTTTAGTGATGGAGTACATATACTACCAATATAGTTTATTATAAATTTTAGTTGACTGACACGACCTCATGTTGATGAGTTATTATATTATTGAGCACATATTCTTTAACACATTTAATTATTACTGTAAAATAGCACTTCACTACTTTCACCGTCTGTCATATATATCCATTTTACCATATAAGACCTGTTACCTTCCCTTTTCTTCACTTCCTTCTCATACTTTCCAGTCCCTTCTACTCTATTAAAGTCTATTCCAATTTATTCCGTTCAACCTTGGTCAATCTCATTCTACTGATTCTATCCCATTCTTCCTCGTTTAATCCCATTCTAACCTATAGTTGGTATGGAAAGAAGAAAACCGTAATAACTTTTTATTACGGTTTTTCACGCAGTTTTTTTTAATTTTTCATTCATTTTTACTTATATATATAGTTTATAACATCGGTATATGCCTAGCATATTAGATAATTCCAACTACATATAAATGTAATAAATGTTTATTTCAATATTTAGTGGTTTTTAATTTATCACCTGAAGTCCTTACATTTATACCTATAGAAATATTAATGTAACTATAATTACATAGTAGAACTAATATGCTTACGTAGTAGAGTTTGTGGCTATGATTATTTTATTTAAAAAAAATCATAATAGGTATATAAAGTTTATTATTATAATATTCTCTAATCTGTATTACATATAATACTCTATTTATTAGGTTGTAATACGAATAGTCACGTCCTATTATAGTTATGGAAAAGATTGCAAGTATTAAAAATATCTATAAGGTGTAGCTTGGTGGTCACCTCATCACCGATATACTGCGTATGATACGATAGCACAGATAACAATATTACGATAGTGTGCTACATGGCTTATTAATAGGGTTGCCATCCGTCCGGGTTTCCCCGGATTTGTCCTAGTTTAGATGGCATCCGGGGAGCGTCCGGGTCAATGATTTATGACATTTTTAACTGTTTTCTATTACACTATGTTTAAAAAAATCTGTAGCCATGAACAGGTTCTGGACTCTAAAATCCGGGTAACCCTACTTATTAGTAACGCGTATATTCGACACGGATTCGGACTGATATATATATATACATACTAGCGGACCCCGCAAACGTTATTTTGCCATATAAATTAAAATTACTGTTAAAAAATAGAAATCGTTTTTGATTGTAGGGTGTAAATTTAGGGTTGCATGTATTTTTAATGCCACATAATAAAAAAATAAAAATTGTACAAAAAAAATATTATGGGTAGACAACTAAGGGGTATAAAAAATAAATAGTAGCCGATTCTCAGACCTATTGAATATAAAATTTCATAAAACATCGGTCAAGCTGTTTCAGAGGAGTATGGTGACATTGTGACAAGAGATTTAATAATATAAAACAAAGTCGCTGTCTGTGCCTATGTATGCTTAAATCTTCAAAACTACACAACGGATTTTGAAGTGGTTTTTTTTAATAGATTGAGTGATTCTAGAGGAACGTTTATATATATATAAAACTTTCATCACCTATTTTATTTTATCCCCTTAAGGGTAATTTTTTACAGCCTCAAAAATAAATTTCAAGCGTCTAGCTTCAAAAATGACAATTATGCCTTACAATCTTTCATACCCCCTTTCAAGCTCTTGCTACTCTTTTTTCGCATTAAAAAGTAGCCATATCCTTTCTAGGGGTTTAAACTATCTGTGTAACAAATTTCATTCAATCTGTTCAGTAGTTTTTCCGGGAAAGCGAGACAGACAAACAGAGTCACTTTCGCATTTTTAATATTAGTAAGGATTACAAACAGACACTCCGATTTTATTTATATGGATGTATGTAACTATAGACTGTGCATTTAAAAAACGCAAAATCCAACTAAAAAATATTTATCTTAGGAAAAACAACTACCTACGTTACTAACTAAATAAAATAATCTATAAATAATTTATAAATTTCAATATAAATCTGAATATTGAACACAAATGAACCTAATTTATAATAATTACTTAATGGTAAAAAAGGAAAGCTGTAAAAATGTAACAAAATATTTTGAATTAAGATAAGAAAAGATAAGAAAAACGGATTGGTGTAATTATAAAATATATCTGTAAATCAAAGGTATGATATAAGAAGTGGCAATCAATTTTTAAATAAAGTCGTCGAGGCAACCATCAACTACAGCCTGCAGCATGTACCGTATTTATTTTCATATGCATGCAGTAAAAAACGATTATTTCAATATTACAAATTTCAATTTGATTTATATATATAGTAACATGTACACACGGGCGAAGCCAGGGCGTGTAGCTAGTTACATAGTATTAAACAAAGTCGCTGTCGCTATATGTCCCTATGTATACTTAAATCTTTAAAACTACGCAAGATATTTTGAAGCGGTTTTTTAAATAGATAGAGTGATTCAAGAGGAAGGTTTATATTTATAAAACATGTACACTCGTGCGAAGCCGGGCAGAGTAGCTTGTATAACATATAGCTTAGTACTTATTCATAACTTATAATTTACTAGCTACTCTCCCCGGATGTACAGGTATTATATATATATATATACATATATATATATATAACAATCACTCTATCTATTAAAAAAACCGCTTCAAAATCCGTTGCGTGGATTTAAATATTTAAGTATACATAGAGACAGACAGCGGCAGTAACTTTATTGTATACTATGTAATGATAACGATACCATTACTTACTTAATGTCACGTCACATACTTATGACTGGAAAGTACAAGTATAAATAAAACAATAAAATTACCATAAATTGGATATAACAAAAAAATAATAACGTCACTGCAGTATTTTCACAATATTTGTAGAAACAGGTGTGTAAGTGTGAATAATTAAAAGACACTTAATATTGACTAATATAAAGTCGAGTAACTTAATTTTATGTTCAATTACTCAGCACATATCTACAGACACAGCAGTACATAGGCCTCATAATGAATTTTTATCTCTATTTGGGATTATGTATCGTAACAGTTAATTTCGCAGGTAAGAACTAATTATATTCTCAAATAACTACAAAAAGAGTTACCCCATTCATTTGAAAATTTTATGTTTAATTAGAATGCCAAACAAGCTTACCTTCCACCTGATGGTAAGTCACCTGAAGGCACTACAGAGATCATGTTCTCATGTGACATCCGTGATACCACTCACGCGTAGCCAATCCGAAGAGCTAAGATGTCATGCCTCTTATCCAATAATTTAACTGTTTTATGTCGCAACTAGCTGTACCCGCAATTAGACCATCCTGAAATTTATAACCTATGCGTTATTATGATGTAAAAGCTACTGTAAAGTTTGCCAAAATCCGTTCAATAGTTTTTGTGTGAAAGAGTAACAAACATTCATCCATATTATATTCCTATAATTTATACATATTAAAATTAAATTATATAACTAATTATATAATTTAATTTTAATATGCCTACATTATAGGAAATAATATATTCTATTTTATTATACTATATATAAATAAAATAGAAACATTTTACAAATGTTTGATATAGGAGGCTATGGGCTATGCCTCCTGGCACAGGCATCTTTGTGCTTAAAAGGAGTATTCAACAACTGTAAAATGTAGTTGTAATATTGTGTTACTTATATATAGAATTTTGAATTTGAATTTCGAATACAGGTAGCCATACTTATATACTTTCATCGTTCATAATATTAGAATGATTATAATTTTGTTTTAATGAGGCTCCCGGTAATATTGTTTTTGTAATGGTGGCTAGCAGGCGATGTGCTAATCTTAGCCATGGTTTTAATATTTTTTACAGCTGCAATAACATGTGGAAGCAATGAAAATGAAGTCGAATGTCTTCAGAATTGTACATTTGACTCCTGTCCTACAAGTCAAGATGAAACAAATGTATGCACGAACAATACGGGTAGCGATTGCCAACCAGGATGCAAATGCGCTTTTAATTATCGCCTAGATGATAATGGAAACTGTATACCAACTACAGATTGTCGTAAGTCAATTATTACTATGACATGACACTGTTTCATAATGAGTAGATTTACTGTTTTATAACAAAAATAAACTTAAACAATACATATAGCGTCATGTAATCCTAATGTGTATAAATATTAGTTGTTTGCTCTGTAAAAACTTAGATACATTTCTTTTTATAAATATATACGAATATCATCTTTCAAATAATCATGTTTGAGCTGTGCGAAGAATCGAACTCACAACCATCGGAAGTATAGCGGTGTGCTAAACCTCTAGTCCACCGAACCTGTCGTTTTATATTTGTAAAAACTTTTGCATTACATTAATTTTCTTTTTTTAATTATGACTTAATTTGATTAATCTAATCTTCATTAGCAAATATGTTGAACCCTAGAACCGAAACACAGCTTTCCAAGCAAGCTGGACGGCTGAAATAGGGGAGACTGAAGTACATATTCAACATTTATACACAATTTGATTTAATGGTTTCAATTTAATTGTCCTTACTTCTAATATTTTCAGCACCATTTGATTGCCCTGGAGTAAATGAACGCTACGACCCTTGTCCACCGTACTGCAGTGATAATTGTGGTAATATAAAATCTGACGGAACATGTAACATTATCGGGCACATTGGAGTTAGACTAGAATGTTTTCCCGACTGTAGGTGTAAAACTGGATACGCCAGGCAGAATGGCATATGCAAACCCATTACACAGTGTCCTACCTCTTAAATACGCTAGTAAAAAAATGTATTTCATAAGTATTTCTGTTTTTAACTTCCTTGTCTTCTTTATTTTGGTAAATTTTAATTTAAATGTTTTGGAAATTTTATTAGACGTAATAAACGTAGTAGCAACATTACATAATACATAATAAACGTAACATTGAAATTAAATAAACTCGGAGGAGGGCGTCGATATTAACACAGTTTTATACTTCTGTGAACGTCATCGATTCTTCTGTAATTTTGTAGAGGTTTCAGTTTTCAAAAAAATAAATTTCAGCTACGTCTCCTATATTGCACAAGCGAAGCAATATATACCTAGTACAATAGTTAACATCAAGAAACTGATAAACTAGCAACAAGCTCATATACTAGCGATAGTCAATTCTAGGTACATTCTTGACTTGTTACTACTATTAGATATACTCTATAGTATAGAATAAGATAATGAACTGAATTACAAAAACATCTTTATAAGGCCTTTTATATAAATATAATTTTGCCACTATTTGCCACTTAATTATAGTTATATCTGAGAGCTAAAAAACAATGGAAAATCGCCTGCCTTCTTAAAATCAGCAACAAAATCAAGGCCTCAGCCTCAAACGAATCAGTATTAAATTAGAACGTATTAACAAGATTCTCAAACAGGGTAGTCAACTGTTGATGTTGTGGTGAATGCAAATTTGACATGGCCACATTTCGCTTAATACATTTTAATCTAATTGGTAATTTTAAATTAAAACTAAATTTTGGTTTGATATCGGAGTTTCCTTCAAGGCAGAATCAGTAAGAAATATAAATCGACACAGATAGATTGTAGGTGTCATTTTTTTATTGTCATACTTTGAATATTTAATAATCAATAGTTAAATATGTACAACCGTTTTCGTATCTTGTGCTTAGCAACACCCATTTGATGTTTAATTTTTTTATGTAAATATAAATTATTGCTTTATTACTGTTCCAATAACATTTATATACTTCGAAATACATGTAATAAACATTTGTTTAAATATTTAAACTCTTTGAATTAATTACCCAAATTCTTTACACTTGTCGATATAGCAACACTAGCTGCATGAAATTTTAGCCTATGTGTTATTTTGATGAATAAGCTATATTACTGTAAAGTTTCATCAAAATCCATTCAGCACTTTCTACGTGTAACAAACATCCATCCATCTATACTCACAAACCTTCGTGTTTCTAATATTAATAAGAAAGATAGAATAAACTTAAATTTAGCTTATGGTCGTCCTCGATATAATCTATCATGATTTCAAATTTATTTAAGATATGTTTAATTGTTTAGTCGTGAAAGGTAACAGACAATTATATTGTCTCATTATAATATAAATATTAATAAATACAGAATTCATAGTAGGTATATTTATACATCGGTATTCTAGTATTATTGTATACAGATGATAATAGAATGGTGCACTTACCTTCGCTAACGGTTTACTAGCGGGGTATCAGTGGAGGCTGATTGAAGTCAGGTCAGTTAGCCCATCGTGATAAATTCACCTGAAATTTATCACGATGGTTTCCATGGAGAACAGCGTGACGATCAAATGGCTAAAAAACCTAAAATGGCTAGTAATGAGGTCATGTTTTCACATTACTAACAATTCCCTTCCCTATCAAATCTCCTAAGTATCCTCTTATATGAAATCTCATTATGATTGTTTTACTCATGAAAAGGTAACAGGATAGAGATGTTTTTTATACTTTCGTATCTATAATATTAGTAATTATTTTAATCAATTTTATGTTTTAATTGTTTAAGTAGTTTCAGAACAATAATTACATATATATTATTCATTTTATCACATTTCATTAACTTCATAGATATGAGTAAGTTCAATTTCCCTGCATACCAAAATCGTTACGAAATTTCAAATGATTTTTCCTACCTTAATGTAGTAAAGTGACGTACAATGATTGCTCACGTAAAATACCTGACCATAATGCATTCACTATTCAACAACAAAATGCAATCAATACCAAGGTATCTTTGACGGCGGAGATCGGAATTCCGATGATCGCGGGTTCGATTCCTCGCACGTCACAAACATTTGTATTCATGAGTATGATTGTTTATGTCGGTCTGGGTTTTTTCTATGTATAATAATAATATGTATGTATTTACGAATAAAAATGTAAATCCATGTATTTGTATCAGTTATCTAGAACCCACAACACTAGCTTTAACTAACTTAACTTGGGTTTAGATGGCGCTGTGTGAATTGTCCTGAGATTATTAGTTTTTTAATGAACACACATGAACAATAAAAACAAAGGAAAACTCACGTAGCGTCATCTAGTATCAAACTGAGCAGAGCTTACTATGTAAACAATGATAAACAAATGATAGAAATACTAAATAAAATACATTTTTTTGTATGTATAAACATATAAGCATACCCATACAAATACAATTAATCCTACCTAAGAAATAAAAAACTGCATTGTGTAAAGACATAAACCCGCGGCCATCAGAAGTAAGGCGGTGTACGAATCTGTCCTAAAACAACCTTAAAATAACCTTTAGGAATCTATTCCAAACACTCAAATTTGAATTACCTTTGAATCATTAGTGAGCAAATAAATAAAATACCTACTTTAGTGGCGCCATCTACCGAAAGGTTATGGCATCGTATAATCCAACAGCTTTTACCGTAAGTTTGCCTAGAAAAAATGGACAGCAATAAGACCGCATCATTGTATATACCTACGTGTATTATTGAATAGCAATATTTCAATGTCTCATATCTACAATTATCTATAATTATATCATGGAAATCAAGTAGGTATGTATATTTTATCTATGGAGAAAAGACGACACCTTTTAAACACTAGAAAGCATAACGAACGTAATTTTAAAAAATACTGATAGAATAAATTTTGTACAATACGAAATAAAAATAATAATAGGTGATTTCAATATTTACAATGGTAACATTGATAACTGGTGTTACGTACTGTTGTGTAGGAATAAATAAATACCCAAGTTCTATAAACTTGATATAAAAAGCCTTGAAACGAGAACTATACAGTGTAGTCATTCATTTGTTATTTATCCGACTACTCGCTATGAAGCGTCTCGTATTTTTATGTTTATGGAGTTTTTGTGTGATAACAGTCAACTGTACAGGTAAGAATTAAGTTCTAATTGTGATAAAACACATATTAGTTTGTATTTAATTAGGCACTGTTACCAGACAATAAAGAAAATATTATGTAGGGTTGTCATCAAATTTTCTGATATTTTATGTGTTATAATATTGTTATTAATAATCGTATACTGCTTGAAATAGTAAACAGTATCATACCCGTGGTACACGTCTAGCGATGCCATCCCAGAGGACTAAGGTCTCGTGCCTAACCTGTAATGTCAGTGCCTTATATACCCTTCAACAAAAAGTCAGTTTACAAACCATAAAGTAGAAGCTCTATAAAACAGGACACAGATGGACAGACGACATTATACAAAATGTACATAAAAATGAATACTGTAATTATTATGATATATACAATATTTATGGGTTTCTTACCTAGAAACAATCCCAATTTTATACTTATAAGATTATCGAAGTACGAAAGTAAAACCATAATGTAATATTGGTATAACCGTTTTTTACTACATGCATATGAATATAAATACAGCACGTACACGAAAATAACATTTTTTACCATTTTTGCCTGTCTGTCTATCTGTTTGTTCTGGCTAATCTCTGAAATGGCTGAACCGATTTTGTCGGGACTTTTTTAGCCGGTAGCTTAGGCTACTTTTATTTTAGAAAAATAAAGTTAAATTCCATGCAGACGATGTCGCGGGAACAGCTAGTTATTATAATATGTTGTGAAATTATAACATACATCAGTGATATAGCTATAATTAATTATTGTATGTTGCATTTGCGCAACTTTGTCTGCATCAAACTTATTTTTACATTTATCATTATATTTAGTCCAATTTACATAATATCTTTTAAATGACAGCCTACTTTAGTGTAATTCTGATGTATAAGTTACTAGCTACTGGCTTCGCTCAGGTGTACCTGTATTATATATATAAACCTTCCTCAAAGAATTATTTTGTGTATTAAAAATAACCGCTTCAAAATCCGTTGCGTAGTTCTAAAGATTTAAGCATACATAGGGACAGACAGCGACAGCTACTTTATTTTATACTATGTAATGATATTACTGTAAAGTATCATCAAAATCGGCTCACAAACTTTCGCGATTATAATATTAGTAAGGTTGTAAACATTTATAATTAAAATGATATGAGAACTTTTACATATTTTATCAAGAAATAAGTTGTACTGGAGAACACGAATACTATGAATGCGGCCCAGCTTGCCAAAACATATGCTCAGAGCTACACATACAGAATAAAACACACTGCCCCATCGTAAATATAAAATGTAATGATATGTGTTACTGTGATGATGGCTATGCAAGGGACAACAATGGCAAATGTATCCCAATAGAAGACTGTCGTAAGTATTTTATGTTTTTTTTTATACTACGATCGTGGCAATCAAGCACTAAACCTATCTGATAGTAAACGGTTACCGTAGCCTATTGACGCCTGAAATACCAGGAGTGTCCCGGGCGCGTTGCTGACTCTAAAATTTCAATGGCAAAAATATGATAACTACTTACATGATGATATGTGGTAATGTATTTGAATAATCACATCATCATGTGATGCTCATGATAATTCTCGTGTGATGCCATTACGGAGAACCAAGATATTATGCCGGTAAACTCTATAATCATATAATATATCTTAGGACATCTCATACAGCGCCATCAACTTCCAAGTTAAGTAAAGCTTATTTTATGGGTAATAAACGACTGATATAAATATTATACTTTAAATATTTACATAATATACATAGAAAATACCCAGACCGATACAAACAATAATACTCATAAATACAAATGTTTATACCGTGCGGACTCAAAGTCGCGATCATCGGAAGTAAGTCGGTGTGTTAAACCGCTGGACTAACAAGGTCGTCAAATAATGTAACTCCCATATCTTACTTTTAACAGAAACACAATTTAAATAAGAAACATGGTGGAAGGAATAAGTGTAACAGATGTCTCTATGCCGACGACTGTATACAAATTCTACTTTTGTCAAATTTTAATTTTAATTAAGTGTTTTTAATTACCTCTAAGTAATGATGTATTTTCAGCTGAATCTCGCCGGCGTCGGTCTACAGACAATGGAATAGGTAAGATAATTTATCTTATTGATTAAAAAATATTTTATTAATTATATAATTACCGGATTCCTGAACTAGGTATTGTTCCTCATTGTTCCAAAGGTTATCTAGTACTGAATTATAGTTTTCTTGTAAAGATACCGCACTTAATGCCACTACTTATTCCTTAAGTCTTTACCTACGTGGCAGTGTTTATATTTAATAGAATCCCTGAAAACACATGAGAATCTTACAAAAATCCCCTGTCCATCGTGGTTTTTCATGATAAATTTGCCGTAATGGGTTAATGGGGATGACGTCAATTTATTTTAATTATTATTAGTAGATACTAAAAAAGACCCTTCCGTTCGTCTGCCTTATCATCTTTTACACAGTCCGCCTCTGTTTTTCGGCCTTCCTCTTCCCTTACAACCATCCACCTTTATTTGTAATACTTTCTTTAAATATTCTCTTCTAGATACTATATATGCTAAAGAAAAAGACAATTTAGGTTTCCAAATGACTTCTTGTAGGATATTTATTTATTATTTAATATTTTTATTTATTACAGAATGTGGACCTAATGAAGTTCAAGTTGATTGTCTGAAGAATTGCACATATGATTCATGCCCCACTAGTGCAGATAACAAAACTGTAGCTACATGCACCGACAGTGATAACTGCGTGCCAGGTTGCAAGTGTGCTTTTAACTATCGCCGAGCCGCGAATGGAACCTGCATACCAACGAAGGCTTGTCGTAAGTAAATGAAATTGAAAGAGTAGCTAGTCCATGATACATAATTTTAGTTGTCAGTACACCGACGACCTCGGTGGTCTAGCGGTCTAGCACACCGCTTTACGACCGATGGTCGCGGGTTCGATTCCTCGCACGGCACAAACATTTGTATTCATGAGTATGATAGTTTGTATCGGTCTGGGTATCTTCTACGTATAATATGTATGTATTTACGAAAAAAAAAATTATCTATGTATTTGTATCAGTTGTCTAGTATCCATAACACAAGCTTTAGCTAGCTTAACTTGGGTCTAGATGGCGCTATGTGAATTGTCCTGAGATTATTATTATATTATTATTATTATATTGAAATTTATTAATTTATAATAATAATAACCCCGAACAATTCACACAGTGGCGTCCAGTCCCAAGGTAAGCGGAGCTTGTGTTTTGGGTGCAAGACAACTACATTAATAGTTTTTTTTTAATAAATACTTATTTTCTATGAATTGTAATTAATAGAATATAATAATAATCATCCAAACGGATACAAACAATCATAGGTATTCATCATGCAAGGAATCGATCCCGCGACTGTCGGAAGCAAAGTGGTGTGCTAAACTGCTAAACAACCCAGGTCGTAAAATTATTTTATTACTTCATACATTTTTTAAGTGTGATGATGTGACGACGAATGTTCTAGTTTGATTTTTTTTTTCAGCGCCATTTGATTGTCCTGGAGTAAATGAACATTATGACCCTTGTCCACCGTATTGCAGTGATAACTGCTGGCGAATAAAACCAGATGGATCCTGTAACATAATCGGCCGCATTGGTGTTAGACTTCAATGTTTTCCTAAATGCCGATGCCTTAGTGGATACGGTAGATTGAACGGAGTCTGCGTTCCTAATGACGAGTGTAAAATTAATTAAATTTTGTAATTTTGAGATAAATATATTTATTTTTTGAATGATTTTTAACATCATTTTTAACTCTATGTCTTATATAAATAAGTATTATAGTGCACAATCATCATAGTAGCCGTTTGTAAATTATGTCAAGACCAGGGGAGTTTCTATAATTTTGTAATTTAATAAAATATGGCATGACCTTAATATTCGCATAGTATAAAATAAAAGCGTTTCCGCTTAAATCTTTTAAACTATGCAACAGACTTTAATGTAATTTTAAGCAATTTAGAAGGTTTATATTTATAATACATATACACCCGCATGAAGTCGGGGCGCGTAGCTAGTATAAATTGAACTATGGCAAGATTTAAACTGAAATGTTACAGTGATATGGGAATTATATCTTCCATATATGTAAAAGGTAAGTTACCGTAGAATTATGTTGTTAATTCTGATATTATTTGATGATTCTAATTTGTATCTAGTGAATTATTCTGACAATACAAAAAAATACTCCTTTTTTACCAATCAATCGCAAAAACAAATTTTTCATAATTGAAACTTTTAACCTCAACAATAACAAATTCTATTCATTTTGGAAACGAACAAACCAGAATTTCACTTCATTTGCATATTAATTGAGGCGGTTTTTTATTATTATATTTATATGCAAATTTAATACATACTTAAGTCAGGGTTACCTACACAAAGGAAATTTACTGATAGTGACATTATATAAATTTTAGCAACTTTTATCTTTATGGTGAACAAGAAATTGTTTCGTGCACTAGAAAGCTTGGAGGGCGACATAAAGGAATACATTAAGGGAGAGGGGATTATTAGTAATAGAGCCGTTAGTATTCATGAAGATTTATTGCAAACAATGAATATCTATATTACTACCATAAATATGAAACTGTACTTGTTAAAAATGTATTATCAAATTACCAATTTGTATCGACTTGGCCCTTTACTTCTAATCCTGCTTACTCTGTGACATATATTTCAATATATAAAATATTATAGATACCAGCCAGTATTTGATATTGCTCAACCCTATATTCTCATGATAACAAAATAGTAACAGCAAAACTAATGACAACAATAACTGATAAACGTTTTACATTTCAATAAAAACACATTTTACATATTGATATACAAAATAATTGGCATCTAAATAAATAATGAATACACTTGAATACACCGACGTACCTTGAAGAATAGTATAAAAAATATTATACTTCATATCTTTGTTACACTACGATTTCATACACGGAGTTGTAAAGGTAGTCATAGACACGAGTAATTATTAAATACAATTATGTTGAAATTGTTTTCCTTATTTATCATCGCTGTGATGTGGTTGGACTCGACGGCAGGTAACTAATAAGTTTTTAATAGCTCTGTAATCTCACGGTATGGTATTCATACCTAAATACCGCATTTTTCTGACTATCATAATGCTGGACTTTACAGCTTCACCGGATGTAGAACTAAAAAACTGCGAATTATATCTGGAACATGGGAGGTTGGTATTTTATATGTAAGTAGTTAGTACGAAATTGAATAAATTTCGTTTCACTGTTAAACAGTATAAGATTTATACGGGAATTGTTTTTCGTTTTATGTCCAGTGGGTAATACGGCGGAATGCCTTTAAGTAGGTACTTATTAATCATTTATCACATGCACTTTCTCTTTCATAGCACTTACTACGCTCTGAAGTAAGTTATCGGTGTAAATAGTAATAGAAATAGCGAATAAATTGTTTAATGGAGTGTGACAATATCACTCTATTACATTATGGCTCCCAGGGTGCCTCATACATTGTTATTCCTGACGACTAAGTACACATGACTGTACCAATATAAGTTATATGGCTTAATTTCAATGTCTAATCTAGTCCTTCGAAACAAAGCTTATAAAGCTTACTGCTTGGCAGTTGAAATAGGCGAAACTGAGTTACCCACGCGACGGCTTTTTACAAAGTTTATCTCAGTTAAATATACTATATACTATATACTAGCTGTGCCCGTCGTTTCCCCTGCGTGAAAATTATAGTCAACCTCAACTTCAACTTTACTTTAATTAGCTTATACCTCAGAGTAACAACTCTGAGGTATAAGCTATATTAAAGTAAAGTTTCATTAAAATCACAAATAAACCATCCATTCATTCATCCTAATTTTCGCGTCATCTAGTAGTAAAATTTCGAACGAAAATTGCAGGCAAGAAGTGCTGTGCGGGTCCTAACGAATATTACAATGAAGAGAAACAGAGCTGTCCTCCAGATACCTGCGAAGCACTTGTGGCTAGATACGACTGCAGAAACTCACCACCTCCAGCACCGGGATGTTCCTGTGAATCAGGATACCTGAGACTCAACCTGACTTCACCATGCATACCAATCTGTGACTGTCCGCAAATGCAATATTCCCCCGATTGTCAATAATAAAAAAAAGTACGTAGATATCAGAGGTCAGATACAATATACTGTACTGTGTAAGAAAGTGGTTCTTCAAAAAACAATGAATTTATTACATTTCTTGTTATTTTCTTGTTACTTTTTCATAATGGCAGAAATATATTTCAATTTCAAATTGGAAAAATTTACGAGTATCCTATTAATATTTATTATCTTATATCTTATGTACCTATATAACATTATGAAATAAATAAAATATACATAAATTACCTTTCATTTCATAATAACTGATGTCCACAAATCTTATTATGTTTGATGACAGAATATAGGACACATAGACTTACACTTATCTACTACATATATAGATATATCTAAATAACATTTATTATTTTAAATTCGGTGTATCTAAAGAATATACTTCTTAATTATATACCTAATTAAAATTTTATAAAATTCCTTGTTATACAATATTTTGAAAAATAGTAAACTCGAGAGTTCCAAACTATATTACTGAAATATTATACGGTTCGCAATAGCAACTATCGTTCTAATAATTACATTAACGATTAAACAATGATACGAATACTACATACATTTATGTACAAACGGCTACGGTAGTCGAGCAGTTTTGCTACAGGGCTACTTACTTTACTTACGATAGTCGCGGGTTCGATGCCTCGCACGGTACAAACATTTGTATTCATGTATGTAAGTATGATGTTCGTATCGGTCTGTATTTACAAGAACATATATTTATCAGTTTCTTAGTACTCTAAGATCTGCTTAGCTTGGGACTAGGTTCTGTGTTTTGCCATATTATACACAGGAAGCATATTTTGACTCAATGCAATATTAATAATAATTTCAAAATTATCTTCGAATCACATTTGTTAGCAACGAAATTATCTAATGATGCCTCCTGTATCCAAGTGGATACAAACGTAAATAAATAAGTACCTATTTATACAAAACACAAGAAGTTTGTTGCTCACAACTTGTCAGACCACAGACGGATCAACATGCGGGGATTTTTGTTATTAATATTCGTTGTGTCCACCATTTTTTCGGTCTCCTCAGCTGCCGATGGTAAGGTTATTTCATTACTTCGTTTCTTTAAGACATCATCTGCTTTCTTTTGAATTTGCCTACGATTGTGGTAGTCTCTTATCGATACAATGTATCTTCATGTCAAACAACATTAAAATCGGTTCAGTCTTTTTTGTGTGAAATGGTGATAAATTCGCATTAGTTTACATGTCTATATGTTATATTATAATATTAATATGAATTATTCATTGTCCTTGACCATAAGTAGATTAATAGGTTATAAGTTTTTTTTTATGAATAGTAATGGAATGGTACACTCGTCTACGCTAACGCTGCGTTCGTCAAAGATAATCAGTTAGCACATCGTTACAAATTCACCAGGAATTTATCATGATGGTTTCCAGGAGGAACATGCTCCATTGCTAGCAATGGACTCAACATCACGTCCACGTTATTAACGACCGTGATAAATATCTGGTGAATTAGTCACAATGGGCAAACTGGCGTGATCTCATACTCGTCTATCATCCACTGTCGGCCCAGCCCAGTCAACAATTAAAAAATATTAAAAAAAATATATTAGTATGGATAATATTTAAAAATATCAATTAGATCCATTGTTTTTTATGTGTTAAATTACTAGTTAAAGGAACAAATACCTATATTTTTTTTATTATTTTAAACTCTCGATAAAGATTAATTTAAGAATCTGCCTACTTGTATCTACAATGTCTTCTGAATAAGTAAAGTTTACATACATTGGTGAGAGATAACAAACTCCCTACTACGGGGCACAGTGTTAGTAGTAATAAAAAACATATCTTGGTAAATTAATAAAACAAAAGAAATTAATTAACTAACTAACCCAACTTGTAAACTACGTGTAAATACGTCTTTATTTATTTACAAGTTCATTGATCTCTTAAAGTAGGTACCTACCAAAGCATACTGTGACCGAAGTAGCAACAGGTCTTTTTAGTGGCCATTTATGTATATAATGGAATATTAGTAATTATTACGAATATTATTTGTATACAAACATTAAAGACATTGAAGACATTCCATGATTACGTGTGATGGGAGTGTAAACAAACTGTTATGTGTTTTACGCTTTTACGTTTGTACAAATATAAAACCGTAAAACACAATAATTCAGTTTATATTCTAAACTAACTGTTACCCGTGTGGAATTTAACATGTTTTTTTTAAAATAAATAATAGATCTAAAATAAAAGTAGCATAAATTATTCCTTAAAGATTACACTATTTATTATTATATATCAGTTTTCTTTGTTAAATTAATATCAAACACAAAGACAAATGTACCAGTTGATAAACTAATAAAAAGAATAACAGGAAAATTCTGATTTACTTAAATTACAAATCTCACGTTCGTGTTATATAGCGCTTGACTTACGCACGTGTACAAGGTGGTATGTAAGGTAAAGGGCCATATTATGGAACATTGTACTAGTTTATGAAACAAGTGATAAAAATCTGAATTACAAATAATTTCTAACGTATTCAGTATTTATAATATTATCTTTATGATCTTTAATAACCTATTTATTGATTAAATTAATTTATTATGGTAAACACCTTAAAATGTATAGAAAAAAAAAAATAGTGAAATGCACGTGTCAGGTTGCATGAAAAAAGACTGTCTTTTGAGTTAGAGAATGACAGGTGTCATCACAATTGTTTTAATAATTTGAAATATTTGTCAATGATTCAAAAATACTTGAAACATGTTAATCAAAAGTTTGACTTATAATCTATTGATTGATATTGAATTTAAAGTACTTTAATAAGGTATTTATTTTTTATTTAGGTGTTTCATAATTGCCCAAAAATTTCTAAACAGACCGTATTTATGGAACAGTATATTCAGTGTTCCACATCCCCCTCACATTCGATTTTCTAAGTTGTCCGTAATTATGAAACAGCAATAAGTGGACAATATTTAGTTAATTTCGTGTTAATAATTGTTAATTAATTATAACAAAGCAATTTACGTTAGAACAGTTTATATTTATAAAAATTTGCATTTAGATAAGTACATAGATTGTAAATTTCCATGAAAATAAAAAACTAACCTCAAAAATGAATAAGCTGGATGATAAATATTGTTTTATGTTAATTAAAACATATACTTAAGTGGAAAACCTGCCTGAAAAAATTAATAACACTTTATTTTATTCAAAATTTTTACGAAGCACCTACATATCACATTTTTATAGATGTTTTTAAATTAATAATTTTTATAGGTAGACACATTTTTTTTATTGAATTTGATATCTTTATTCTATAGACTTGTTTTATATTGTTATTATTAATTTTGATTGTTTGGTATAATTTTTATAATTTGATATTGGTTGGTTTTCATGAAATAAATAAACTAACTGTCAAAGAAGTGACGTTGGTAAATTTTAATTTTTAGAGAAAGAACAGAACTGTAAGAAAATAATTTGATTAATAATCAAGTCGAATGATAAAACTAATGATTACATGACACTTAACAATGATTGTCATTCTTCTAATAAATATTCTCCTCTGATAAATACCAGTACCCAGTCTCAACAAAGCGGCCATTCCTGAGGTAATTACTGTATGAAATTATAGTATAAAATGAACCTTTAGATATGGTTACTAAAGCTCATTCTGGTATTAATGAAAGTAGTAATTTAAATTGACTAAATTTAACTAATATTTTGTTAATATAAATTTAATATTGTGCGTAATGTTGGTGATGAATTAATATTTGAGTTGAATTTGAAGTCAAGAAAAAATGGATTAAAGTTGAGACATCAGGTAAACTCAAACTACCTTCTGCTGGCATATCTGATCAATGGATGCAATATGACTCAAAAAAAGAAACTGATCGTAAAACTAAAGAAGAAAAGCTACATAAAAGAAAACAATTATTAAATGAGAAAAAAGTGATAGCTGATGAACGGAAAAAGCTACTAGAGAACGCATTACTACAAAGGATCCAAGAAGAAATGAAATAGTTGAATTTTTGGTTTAATTTAATGTATATTTGGATTTTATATCTTGTTTATTAATCCTAAGATTTGAAACTGTTCTTGTCATATTTACTTTGTAAGTGAATATTTATTTATTGCTTGTTTATTCGTATAATTTTTAAATCTCACTGTATTAATAATTAATAATAAAACTTTTGATACTATGAATAAATAAATTAGTAACTGAAAAATGTTTTTAATGTGAGTACTTCAGTTCATTTTGAGTTCCATAATTTGGGACATTCCCGATGGAACACCCGTACGTGTTGCTTTAGACTGTTTCATAAATACGGCCGTATGTACTTGTCTGTTATTTTATTCAATTTATTAGCATTTTCAACTAAAACTCACTTGATAAAAATTATTATCACTTCAGTAGATATCAGGCAAACTATTAACTTAGAAAAATTCAATGTTTCAACTCTATTTTTTTTTAAACAATGTAAAATATTCAACTCCTACTCAAAAGGTGTCTCATAATATGGCCCTTTACCTTATATGATGACGTCACGTCGGGTATTTACCTCTGTCAGCCGTCGGTTGATGTCATCATTCACACCAAATTGATTTATACTTACCTATGTTAACCAGAACTGAGTTGATGAGAAAAAAAAGTTAATTTATTCTTAGAATACTACACGTTAACACAAGCCTTGTTTCCTTATTTTTTTTTTTGTTTTTGAGTATTTTTATGGCTCTGAGTGTGAAGAAAATAGATACTGGGAGATTGCGAATAGATTTTTTTTTTTATATACACAGATTAATGATTTTGACGAAAAAATATAGTTCAATTATATATAGTTGTATATATAATTATATATATGTAATATTATATTATCTGTGATATAGGTTTTAGATATTTTACAAATACATATTCACCACAAATTTTTCTTACAGCTAACTTTCCTCATTTACTATTTTCAACTTAGATTTACGTTTTATTGGGCACTAAAATATATTTTGTTGTTGTTTTCAATATAGCTTCGTCAACAAGATGTTAGGTAAATAATTAATCCTGATTGTTTTTGATATAAAAATCGAAGTTAAAAATAGTAAATGAGGAAAGTTAGCTGTAACTCAAAAACAAAAGCTGTAAGAGAAAAATTGTTACTATATTCAATACGCGTTAATTCGAGGTAGAAACGGAAGAAAAAATCGAAGTAAACAAACAATTTTTTTTTTGTTGACCATTGTTACTTATTTTAATTACATACAGGATGTGTTACGAATTAAGCATGCGTTCAGTCTCTCATATCATTTATTTGTTTTAAAAATATGTCAAATTATATGTAATAAAATCTATACCTATAAAAAGTATCGGCAACAGTATGAGTAAATATTCTATCAATATGCGAGAATTAGATTCACAGATTATATTCGACGGGCTCGGGGTCTAGTGATTTATTACCCCCTTATTCGATAGTCGCGGGTTCAATTCTCTCACATTATAAATATTTCTATTCTTGAGTTTGCATCGGTCTGAAAATTTTGTATGGCTATATTATGAGTTTAGAGGTAAAATTAAGTATTTCTATCAGTTGTCGATTAATGGCGTCCCACCATAACACTTCATACTTTCAGTTTGTATCGGTTTTGTATAAAACTATTCTTATTTATACCTCGGTAATGCGGTTTAACATTTGGTATCGCCTTTCGCGAGTTCCCCGCTCTAAACAGAGATTGGATTTTCACAGGTATACTTTTCTCAACTGTATTTCCGTTAAGATTAATTCAACTGATAAAATAAAAAAATATGATAAATATAATGCTAAGATATGAATAAATGATTAGGTACTTATTTGTTTTTATGAGTATGTTTTGTGTAGTTCTCGGCGTTATAAAAAAAGAGTTTAACCTGTTATATGTCTACTATAAAAATCAGTAGGTACCAAATTATTGCCATTTTACATTTCAGATATAATAAAAACAACCTTGGTAATTGATAAAACCAACTGAAATATAAAGCTAAAGAATGAACCATTGAGAAACAAAACAATTTTTATTCATAATTTATTAACATTTTCCTATAAACATTCAGTCAGTTGTAACTATATGATAATATTTTTTATCATCTTCACTTATAGAATTCGGGGCGCCTGATAACGGATCCTTTCCCTCATGAGACTTAGGAAAAGCTATAACCTCTCTTATAGAATCTGCATTACATGCTATGCTCACTAATCTATCTATACCTAAAGCTATTCCAGCATGTGGGGGACACCCGCTTTTTAAGGCATTTAGAAAATGCAATAACTTTGTTGCATCTATTTTCAGTATCTTCAATAATTCTTCTTGTTGTTCAGCATTGTGCACTCGGACTGAACCTCCCCCGACTTCATTACCATTGATTACTAAATCATATGCCAGTGATCTCACATTCAATGGATCTGTTTTTAGTAAATTAATGTCTTCTGGATGAGGAGCTGTAAATGGATGATGACAGGTCTCTAAACCTTCCTCTCCTTTAACAAATAAAGGAAAATCAATCACCCAAAGTGGTACAATTGTATTGCTTACTTCTAACAGGTTCTTTTCAAGTAATAATGAGGCAATGATCTCACGAACTTCGCCTAGAGACAAACATGTATTTTCATTATCACCTATACAGACTATACATGAATTTGACACACCAATTGCATCTTGGATTTTATAATGAATATCAGTTCCAAGTTCTTTAGAAATATTTTCAAACAATACTATCTTAGTTTTATAATTTTTGCTCAACTCTCTGACTTTTTCTTTATATTTTGATGTTAATTTACCCATTTCATTAGGATATGGCAACACATATGCACCAAAGACTGGATCATTAAGTTTATCATTAAATAAATGTTTAATAGATTTAAATTTTAAATCATAAGTCAAATTAGGTTTATCTGTGCCATAATTTTCTAAAGCATATTTATATGTTAACCTTTTAAATGGTGGTTTGGGGATATCCTTTACAAAAGTTGTATAAAGCATTTGTTCAATCAATGATAATACTCCATCTAAGTTCGTAAACGATAATTCTAAATCCAGCTGTGTGAACTCAGGCTGTCTGTCTGGCCGTGTGCTCTCATCTCTATAACATCTGGCTACCTGGAAATATCTGTCAATACCACCGGCCATTAGCATTTGTTTGAATTGCTGTGGACTTTGAACTAAAGAATAGAATAATCCAGAATGATGTGTTGGTACCACAAACTCCCTAGCACCACCTGGTGTCCTACAAAATAAAGTTGGTGTTTCCACTTCAACAAAGTTATGTTTCTCAACAAGAAACCTCCTCATATTATGCAACATTGTGGATCTTTGCCGTAAATTATATTGCATTTCTGGAAATCTCAGATCAATATACCGATGTTGGAGTCTTAGCTGTTCTTTGGGTTTCTGGTAATCTCTCAGATGGAATGGCAGGTTACTAACGGTATTAAGAATTTTCAAGTCATTAATAACTACTTCTATATCACCAGTTTCCATATCTGAATTAATCATACCTTTTGGCCTTAACTCTACTATTCCTTCAATTTTGACTACGGTTTCCAATGGTATATTGGGGCAATTCGTATCGCCACCTACAATGCACTGCGTTATACCATATGCATCCCGGAGTAATAAAAACTTGTTCATTCTTTGATATTGCACCCATCCACAAAGAGACACTTTTTCTCCAACATGACTAGGCCTCAGTTCTCCGCATGTGTGGGTTCTATAAGAAAATGCGTTATAATCTGGTTCGTCTATAAGTTTTTCTAAGTCTTGCTTAACATTGTGTGAATAAGTATGTCTCTTTGAGGTTATGTTGTGCCGTTTCGAAAAACTATGAAAATTTAATAAACGCGGCACTTTATTTAATATAATTACATGGGCCTCGGTGGCCAAAGATATTGGTATACTGTAAACATTGCATGTTTTATAAATATTAAAAATGTTTCTTCTTAACATTGTAAGTTTTTAACTTCAAATAAAGGTTATTATGTAGAGTTAAATATTATATTTCTTCCAATATGCTAAAAAATAAAATACATTTAGTGGTACTTTTTACATAATTATATAAGTAAAGTAAAATTATTCTTTTTCACCTTTTCAAATCAAAACAAAACTACTATACAGACTACTTAGGAAAATCCTATAAGCCACAGATAATTAATATATGACATTTTGTCAGTTTGACATTTTGAAGGTTAGAAAAATAAACCTAATAATTGAAAAACCGAACCAAAAAAAAATAAAAAGTAAACTTAATATTTTTAATAGGATGTTTTTAAATTAGTAATAGTACCGCGACAGACGCTAGACGGTCGGCTTTTAAGATATAGAAACAGATGGCGCTATCATACTATAATATTTTGTCATTATTATTGCTGAAAGTTTTGAATTTTTATTTTTTAAAAATATCATTTAGATTTAGATAATATAATATAAATTATGTTAGGCTATTGATATATTTAAGTATTTATGAGTTTTATTTGTATTCTAATTATAATTTTTTTGACACAGTTCATGAAAACGTATATATACATATATATATATATACCTAGTCACAAATAATTACAACGATGAGTTGACTCAAATATTTTATGGGCCCACGGTTTCATCGCATAAAATTTATAGCCTATGTATTCCGGATATTATTGTAGTAAAGTTTCATCAATCCGTTCAATAGTTTTTGCGTGAAAGAGTAACAAACATCCATCCAGCAATCTATCCACCCATACTCACAAACTTTCGCATTTATAATATTAATGAGTTTATTATCTATAAGCATATTTTTTAGAACCAACCAGATGTGTAAGAGCCAATGAAGAATTATCCTGCGTTAAAGGCTGTCCACCAGAAAAGACATGCAGAAACAGAGGAATACTATTCAGTTGTTTTGATGATGGAAAAGATTGCACCCCAAAATGTGTTTGTAAGAAAGGGTTCTATAGAAGCCCCAATGGTGATTGTTTAACAGAAAGTCAATGTGGTAAGTTCTTAACTAATTAAAACCATTTAAGAATATTACATGTATGAATAGCTCACCTACTCAACCACTAAATATACAGTACTTCATCCAAATATATATAAGAAAAAGAAAATTGATCGGATCAGAAAATAAGTGAGGTTGTCAATGTCGTCGTTATATTTTATTGATATTTTCCGCGTGCCGCTGGTTTATTACACTTTGTCGCGGTAATAGCACTGTACAAATATTTGTATTCCTGAGTATGATTGTTTGTACTGGCTGGGTGCTTTTATATATTTATAAAAAGAAATCTAAGTATACCTATCTATTCGTTATTTAGTAACCATAATACAAACTCTGCCTAGCTTGGTACCAGATGGCGCTATGCGAATTGTCCAGGGACATTTTTATTATTGTTAAATATATTTTTAATTTTTTTATTTTTGTACTATAAAGTTAACTTTAATAAATTTCCAGACTTATGTCCTGGAGAACATGAATACTACGCATGTGGTGGAGCCTGCGACAATGTATGCTCCCAGTTACATGTACAAAACAAAACAAATTGCCCCATTGTTAATATAAGATGCAACGATAAATGCTACTGTGATGATGGTTATGCAAGAGACAGTGAGAACAAATGCATACCAATAGAGAAATGTCGTAAGTATCTGTTAGACTATCTAATTTTTAATTTAAATTTGAGAATATGTTCAGACATCTGTTCGTGTTTATTTATGATGTAGGACAATTTAAATACTTAAAACAACAGTCTGAAGCGATAATGAATATACAAGCAAATAACGGAGGTTACCGAGTAGATCATACGTTTATCAACAATTTCGTAATAATAAAAAATATTTTAATAATATTTATGCACTATGAACTTCCAAGTTTGCAATATTTAGTTTTTGATGTGGAGTACACTACTCTTATTAATCGATCTAATCATATCATCATCTATACATATAAATGAAATTGGAGTATCTGTTTGTAATATTGAAATAACCGTTTTTTACTACATGCATATGAATAAATACGGTACATAGGTACACCATAATATTTTTTTTACAATTTTTGTCGCGTGTACAGCTAGTAATAAATAAAAAAAATTCTCTTTGGATCACATGTCACAAGAATATTAGTAGTCAACGCATTCTATACTCAATTTCAGAACCAATTTGCGGCCCAAATGAGGTATTCAGTGATTGCGCGAGGAGCTGCCCACCAGAAACATGTTTTTCTATAGTAGCGTTTTTCAGATGTGACGCTAATCAACCATGCGAAAAGAGATGTATCTGTAAACCGGGTTTTCTACGCCTTAAAGACGGAACACCTTGTATACCGACTCGACAATGTCCACAACTTGCCAACTCACCCGATTTCAATTAAAAATATGTCTTTTAAATAGATTAATGTCTAAAACCATATGAAATAATAGATAATAAAAATAAAATCTAGTGCTTTATCTACAATGTAAACGTCCGTATACACTCTACATACCAAATTATTGTTTTCAATTAATATATAGGTAACATAGAATACATTATGGAAATAAATTTGTATAATAAGTCTCTAAATGTTTTCTTAGTCAATTAATATCCTTACATTGTTTAAAAAAAGTTTATGATTAGATTAAATACCACACACAGTTTTAAATTAAAACAATCTTTCTCAAATTAATCAACGTTTTTAATGTAAGTTAAAAATAGATGGCGCCAGTATAATATGATCAAAGATACTTTTCATAGATACTAAATTATTGGATGTTTCAATCACAATTCTCAATCTGTCTATAATTTTAGAATACCCTCATGACACTAGGAGGTTGGGAATCGCAGTAAACTTATGTTTTTAAAAACAAAGATATTGAAAATAAATTACTTACCTACTTTAGTTGTGTACATATTGTTCCGATTTCGAGCATAGGTTATTTAAATAACAATCTTAAAACTAAAGCGCGAAATTAATACAAATGTAATTGTAATAAATACTCAGAAATAACTAGAACTAATTGCGCTTTAATAGTATTTGCACTATGCAAGTAACTAAGTTTAGTAACATGGGAACGTTCCTGCTTTATTATACATCTCAGCCATAAATGTTTTAAAATCGCAACTAGAGCTGGAACTTTCTAGAAGCTGGTATACGAATGGATTCTTCGATTTATACAATTGATAGTCCCAACTAGAGCAATATTATTTCTAGAACGAAGGAATTCTCGCAATTATACAAACTTCTTGTAAAATTCAACGTCTTTTTTAATCTCTCGGGTGGATGTACCCGCGACTACTTTATTGTCAGATTTGATCTATTCACTTTACAAACTTACTATTAAAGTTTGTAAAGTGATTAGAATAAAATGCCTCTAAAAGGCTGAAGGAATCTTAAGACGGGTATAGACTATCTTTTTTCGTAAAGTCAGCGAAGCGAGGGTGACCTATTTTTTTTACTATACAAGAAATGTTTTTATGAGGACAAGTCAGGTTTTTGTGGAATAATCATTATGTATTGTATTACAGATGAAACCTGTGGTCCCAACGAGGTGTTCAATCCGTGTACGAAAACTTGCCCACCAGACTCCTGCATTTCTTTAGTAGCCAAGTTCAAATGTGACTCCAAAGAGTTATGCAGGCCTAGATGCATTTGTAAACCAGGATATTTACGTTTAAAAACTAGGGAACCGTGCATACCAATGGATGAATGTCCGGAAGCTAAATAGCAATCTCTCCCAGGTGATTTACCTAAAGTCTATGTATATAATTGATTACCGAAATATATTCTCGATTAAATTAAATTGCGTTTGATTTTGATATTGTAAATATGAATAGATTTTACCGGTAGAATAAATAAGTTTATATTAATAAACAATAATATTTATCAATGTACTACGCCTACACCGGGCTAAGTCTATTTTTCGAGTAACGACCTCGTGTCCCTTCTCCCTAATATAATTTATTTTTCTATATAAAATTTCGTTAAGATCCGTTCAGCCGCAGATGTGTGAAAAGATAAACAGGCAAACAGAAACTTTCGAATTTATAGGATTTTCACATAAATGTAAATCAACTGATTTTCTAAAGTATATCAGTATCTACACTCAGCTGAAGCAAGTGGAAAATTTCTATATCAAACCCCCAAAAAAATTCATCGCCTGAAGGAATTAGACTAGCAATTATTTAAAAAATAACTTTTAGTGGAAGTAAAATTGCGTTGTACAAGTTGGTGACATTTTGTCTGTACGTCTCTATTATTACTCAAATATTACAACGACTACTGTGTAAATAAACACACTTTTCTATGGAGTAAATTTTATTTAAAAATACAGAGGGCGGCGAACGTGCCTCCCCAGATAAAAAAAAATATATTTTATTTTGATAAATCTATATTTTGTAATACCATATATATGCTATACTATGTCGAAATTTTCTGCATATAAAGTTACAGAACACCAAAACAACAGGGTTTTAAATAAAAACATCTTTTTTTTCAGGAACGGAATATGTATTTTGTCTGTAAATAAGTCTTATAAAATAAAGAAAATTGTCAACCAAAAATAAAGTCTAGATGTCAATGCTTTTCTCTGAATATACACAAGTATAAGCACAAGTAAGCACTGAAAAACAGCCTCTTTACAGAAATGTAAATGTAATGCCATACAAATCCAGAAATATATATTATATAAAACAAAATCAACTATGTAACCTCTAACATATACAATCTTTGTTATACTTATATCACTAAGGTAAACTATGATTAGAAAAATTAGGGAGAAATATATTTGAATAGTCAATGAAAAACAATTGTTCACTACAAAAAGTGAAGAACAAAACATAAGTCTTAGTCGAATGAGAAAAAATTTATAACAAGTCCAACACTGCAACTAGATAAGTCACAAAAAATAAACAGTCGCGTAAAACTCTGAAAACAAAACGATACACCAATGCATATAATTGGTCAAATTGTTCTTGTTACATACTAATATTTAATTCAGTTACTATAAACGCGAATGAAATTCTACTTTATTCCATCAAAAATAAAGCAGCAATTTCATGAACTTAAGCCTAAAGTCAAACAAAAAAAATAAACATGTTCAAACTGTACGCCAGACTGGCACTGTCACAGGAATCGTTGGTTGGGTGCGAGGATATATTGAAGAATTAATATAGTTGTACTGCAGGCCTGCACAGGTTGGTAGCGACTGTACCACAGGCTGGTAGACTGATTGCACAGGTGTAATAGTGGATTGCTGCATAGCTATTGGTGTAGGTGTGACTGTGGCCTGCTGCATGGCCTCGCCTCTGAGCACCTGAAAATAAATTATTACTTCATGCAGTTATTGCTAGATTAAGAAATTTAAAGCTATACCATATAATTTATCAGTGTTTATTTTCTGACATATATTATATTCCTCATGCCATTCTGGATGATCAATGTGTTATGCCTATGTACTCTTTCCATAGTCTTATCTAACCCATCAAGTCTAAACATAGCTGACAAAATCAGCTACTTAGTGAAATGGGGAATATAGGGGGTACCCACATTTAATAATACAGATAATAAATTCTCATTAAAATATACACCCATATAACAATTATAGATCTGTGTATGTATGAGATTGTAACCTTCCATTCAGGTGGTACATATAGGATCTAGTCAATCATACCTTGATGTAATGGAGAGCCATTTCAGCTGCCTCTACTTGAGCCTGTTGCAAAGAGAAACATGGTCGTGCTGTCAAAGGTCCCAGGCGCTGAGGTGTTGTTAGTAGAGGCAGACCAACATAAGGTAAACTCACACGGCCCACCCACACATCAGCACCAGAAGGTCCCAAATATTTCTGGTAGTCATAGACTGGTGATGCCCAATTATATCTGTAAATGGAAATCAAATAGTTTACTTATTTACTACTTCTGGAATATATAAAGGATGTAGAGTTTATGAAAGATCATCATACAGACTAACATTGGATTCACAGTAGGAGGCCAGTCCATTCTGTGGTAGGGAATTAAACTCTAAAAAGACTTTACTGATAATAAATTTATATAGTAGAAAATTAGTTCTTAAAAGAAAAATTCGGAAATATTTTACAGGATGGGAAAATAATGCAATGACTGCACATACCTTTTACACATAGCATCAAGTTTTGCTGGAGCCACCATGTAGTTATCCTTTGTATAGGGTTGTGCTGAATTTTGAAAAGATGTCCCCCAATTTGTTGAAGACCCGGATATGGACTCACCAGCACACACAGAGCTGATGCCATCATCTCTTGAAGACTTTTCGTATTCCTTTTTCTCCAAATGCTGTTTATAAAGTAATAGAGTTTGAGTCCAATCAAGGCTGCTATTAAACTTCGCATTGCCTTTACTCATTTTCTGAATTCTATAAAGCTCTCTATCTACAGGTTTTGCCCAACGTATCTCTATGTTACTGCCATCAATTTCAGCATTTTGTAATTTCGCCATAGCCAGTTCGGCATGCTCTCGCTCATAGAAATGTATAAAAGCATAGTCATAAAATTTTTTTACACGCTCTATTTTTTTACTTACAGCTTTCTCAAAAACAGATCTAATGTTGTCTGCCAATGTCCTGACCGAGAAGTTACGAACGTAAAGCACTTTCACCTGTAATAGACATAGTTTTTGTATATCTAACTATACACATTTGTTTAGAGAATATAGCAGAGCAGATTGGGCACAGATTGTAGTTTAAATAAACAGTAACAAGATACCTTGAGTAAAACAAACAAATTTAAAACTAAGCAAGATACAAGGGACCTCACATACATAGTTTATATATATACGTAAAAATGAATCTAAGATCGGTAATAAAAATAAACTTAAGCTTACCTTTTTCATTTGTTCATCATCGACATCGGGTTCAGGCTCAGCCCAGTCTACCATCAGCTCGTGGTCCCATATTTTGACGCCCGGCACAAGAGCTCGTCTTGCCATCGCCGCGGCGCGATGAGATGTAAACTCCACGAAAGCGAATCCTCGACTAATCTGTTTATTGAAGCAATTTTTGTATAGTATTACATCAACAATTCCCGACACTCTTTGTGTTAACTCTTCCAGAATTTCTTCTCTGGTTTTAGTTTTCGGTATACCGCCAACAAAAAGACGACAATTATCTACGGATTTTACGACGCCGATGTGTCTGCCGGCTCTTATCTCGTAACTGTTGAGGTCTTTGACTGCTTTAAACGCCTCCGCTTTTGTGCAGTAGGTAACGAAAGCGTATCCGCGGTTAGAGCCGGAGAAATCCATCATTAGTCTCATCTCGTAGATTTTTCCAGCCTTAGAGAAAATCGGGACCAGCTCATCCTCGAATATTTCTCTTGGAAGCCTTCCTATGAAGACTTCACAGCCTTTTGGTGGTGGAGGTCCGGTCCAGTCTGGCGGTGGTCCAAACTTGCGCTGTCCATTTTGCTGAAAGATGTTATAACCGGTTTTTTCTGAGAGCTCTAATAGCTTCCTTATCACATCATTATCTTTATCTTTATCCATAATCTAACAATTTTAATTTCACAATCAACTAACGATACGCAAGTTAAGATTGGAACGATCACAGTAATAAATGAAGAAAGGCGGCCGGTCAAAGTGTCGGCGCTCTTTATATTTTGCCGAAAGCCGACAAACGAACCGCACCGGTTATGACGTAACGTAATATTTTAATTTGGCGGTTTCACAGTAAACAATTGCAATACTTATTAAATTTAAAAACGATATCAGCAGATACTTATTTAATATAACATGCAGTATATTTGTATTAAATATCTTGTAATAATAATTTTTACAACCAAATAGAATACTTTAGTGGAATTAAATCGAAGTAATTAAATAAATGTCCTTTAAACGGAGACCATTAATTTTCAGGATAATCAAATTGTTATCTAATATTTGAGACATATCTAGATTTTAATGTCTCTAATTATGCGTTTATTAATAAATATCATATAATAACATAAAATAATGGCTAGTTATTATTTAAATGAAATAAAGTAACAAAATTAATTAGATTGCAATAAATAAGGGCAGGATGTACTTAATTACAACAAATCAGTTCATATCTTATATTAAATTTTTGGTAATTTGGAAAAACGAATTTAAATATAATCTAATAAAACTACTAATAAATTGTCTTTATTTACACAAATCACCTTGTTATTGTGTGGACTTTTTTGTTTGATTTAATTTAGACAAAGTTCCAGCTGCTAGTTTATGGATAGTGTGGATAGATGGCGCGATTCGGAAAATAATTTTGATTGATTGATCCGTAATAGTTAATAAAAGATTTATTCTATAATAGCTAGCATTATACTTTCATCAATTAGTCCAATGTAATGAATTCATCATGACGGTTTCCGGAGAGGAACTGCGTGGAGGTCTAACAGAAACGGTTATTCACTAACAATGACACACTAGTAGGAATAGGTATACGAGAAGTCCTCAGGTAGATAGTAATCTAAATATATTGAAAAGACGACAGGGTATTCCGACACAAATAAAAAAAATGTATATGTAAGTAGTTTAATACAATATCCATCACAAAACAAGTATAAAATAATTTACATCACGTTCGATATACGAAGATCGTTATATTATATTATTATCTACCTAATTATAACTTAAACAGACCAAAAATACACTTAGGACGGCGCACTAGTTATGATAATAATTATGACAATGGTCTATAATGTGTAATCTACAAGTGTTGACAAATATTTTGTATATATTTTCCTAACCGCTGTAGAAACGGTTAGAGACCAAATATTTAAAATTTTATTATTTCGTTTAATATATGAAATATTTCGTAATAATTTTAGGAACAATAAAAATGTAGTAAATGTGTACTGACAATATAGTTTTACCATAATTCTGGGAGCAAATGTGTAAACACGTACTTTGTTGAGAGTTATATCTATGTATTGTGTACATAGTGCCTCGTCTTGTTATTATGTTGATCTGACAGACTAAAATATATCACATGTAAAGCAATATAGGGTATAAATTCGCTTGTATATTAATTCAATGTGGATATGTGCGCATCCATTCCTAATTGCCTAGCGTAGTCGAATTTTCATGAGATCCTTAACTAGTATAACTTTGATTACGAAATCATGCTTAATACTCATACAACAATTTAACCCATAGTGTTTTTTCATGGTTTCCGAACGCCAAGTCACAATGTAGTTACAAGCCTAATTTATTTTATTCAGATCTTTATATCGTGTGAAAATGTAGACATATATTAGATATAGATAGATGTGTAGAAAGTATATCATGCATTTCAGGTTTAATGATGATTTTTAAAATACACAAAACATTTCTGTTCAATATTTGATATTAAGTCAATTGCTTCCTTTACACGATATGTTCTTACAAGCGCAAACAGCAGCGCGCGCGATTAACGCGGGAAACCCAGTGCTCATAATCTTTACTGGTTGTATTCACTCTTTCATGCATGATAGCGCGATGCTTCATATTAGTTCTTTTAATTTATAAATTATTAATAACTCCATAATTATGCCCTTTCGCTCTATAGTAAGATGACCTCTATTTTGCAATGATAATTGTTTATTACAAAGTCGCTAATGCACCCTCAATTGAAGATTCAGGGAATGAGCGAGGTGCGCGCGGTCTTTCTTGTTCTCTTTGTCTACATTTACATACACATTCGCGCGTGTAAAGGGCAGCTAATGACAAATATAATTTACATCAAAATGCGAGGTTTGATTTTCACGGTAATTCAATTATTATTACAATAATAATATTATAACAACAATATATATACTTAAAGGACGGCACAAAAATAAAGCAAATCATCATAGTACGTACATATATACAAATCTACATATAAACTTATTTACAAAATTCATCACTATAATGTTGTTATGAAAATCCAAATTACCTTGAACGGAAAACTTAGAGTTTACCTGGCAACATAGGAAAACATCACCCTTATTCATAAAAGCATTAAATGTCTAACTTAACTAATTGGAGTGCATTTTTTTCTTAATTTGAAAGTAAGTAACAAGGAGGTTTGGAAGTAAGATGTTTTAGATTCTACGCATGAGGTAATTAAATGGGCATGATCAAGAATTGTCCAGGAATTGTCATTGTGCCAGGAATGTTCATTAGATTATATTTAAATGATATTTTTTTACATATATTTTCATATCCAACACTAATTGAAAGTAATGGCAGAAATACAGATTAAATATAATGTATAATATAATTGAGCACAGTAAATAAGTAGAATCATCAATTTGTATAATAAACTCTACTTAATAAGTTCATTTTTAAAGCATTATTACAAAATATATGATATTCTTACAATACATAGTCAGTTTTGTAAACTAAAATTAAAATAAATTCAAGCTACTAGTAATTAATCAAAAAAATATCATAAAAACATGACATTAAAGTAAATTTAAATGAACTATACTAGTTCGGTATTATATTTTTTTAAACATGGAATGTATGTGTGTAATGAATGTGTGTATTAATTTCAATTATTCTTAATTAAAATTATTATCATTACAACTTCTACTTTACTGCCAAGTCATTATGACATATTTTATCAGTTTCAAATACAAATAGTTCACTTAAGTAATACCACAGCATAAATAGCATTAAATACTGTAAAAATACTACGTAATTATTAACATATTTATAAAAACTCTGAATATGAAATAAACCTAGTTTATTTTTAATTGTGTTCCGTCCTATTCTATAAGATATTATCTAAATTTTCAGGAATAGTACAAAACGCTTTTAAGCTGTTAGCTATTAAGCTAAAGTAGGTTTGTATGAGGTTTTAGTTTCTAGTTTTCTTTACAATAAACATGTAAAGCGTTTTAATGGAATAGGAATGGCAAACTAGCAGTTTGACCACCTAATGGCAAGTGGCTGCCTAAATATCATGAATAGCACCACGGAGATTACATCACCTGACAATTGTGGTACTCCTCATGCGTTGCCATTCTGGAAGACTAGGTGTCATGTCTCCGTAATTTGTAATATCACTGACATATCTCACTCTTCAACCGAGTTTTCACTTCAAACTTACAAAGCGAGCTGTTTGGCAGCTGTTGTAGGTGAGACAGAGGCACTTCTGTCTCTGTTTCACGCAGCCCATTGTATAAACTATTTTCAACGCGTGTTTTATAAACGCAAATAGTGAAGTTATATTCCAAACCAATTATTTTAGCTGATCGCCGCTCAGCGACAGCCAGTAGACAGCGCGCTGATTTAAAAAAAATAAAACGGCGGGAGAGCAACAGTCTACACCACAAAAACGCCGTAGGATATGTGTGCGTTTTTAACACACTTGGCTTTATTCGGCTCTGGCTGATATACTGCCTTGTGTGGTATAACCATCATAACACTTATATCGTAATATACTATTAAAAATGTTTACATCTCAGAATTATTGTCCATAGCTTTATTGTCGTATCCCCTTGCGGTGGTGACGGAGGCGCCATCTGTGTCGAAACTAGCGTCGCAGTCTGCTTCTATGACCCAATGTTGCTTTTCGGCGGATGCAAACACACCGTAGACTATCGCACCGATGAGATAGATGGCGCTGGATATGAAAAATACCATTCGCCATTCTTCTGCAGTCTGAAAAACATATTGTTATAAGATAATACAAATATTTATTTACTTAAGCAAAGTTAATTAAAATTGTTCAAATTCCTACATTCACATCAAAAATATGGTCAACTAGCTAAAAGTCATAACATCCTAGTTGAGCATACATTTTTTATATTATATTTTACGTGTGTCGTGTCTAAAAGATCTATAACAATAATAGCCTTTAAATAATTATAATATTTTTTAAATATGTCTTACATCAATAAATTATTTCAAGTTTAGGCCAATTCACAGATTGCCATCTAGTCTTAAGTTAAGTAGAGCTTATGGGTACTAGACAACTGACAGATTTTTTAAAAATACATAATATACATAGAATATATCCACAATCATACTCCATAATACTTAAAAAAATATTAATTCAATGATTAAATTTAGAACAATGCATATATCGGTATCTAGGCCTTAACTAAACAGGTACTAGACAACTGATATAAATATATATTTTTGGACATACATATTATGTATATATAGTAAATATCTAGTCCAATACAAACAATGATATTCATTAATACTTAAAAGAATACAAATTCATCGTGCTATCAATATGGTTGATGAAATGAATGTTATTTTAGTGAAATACTCACGTTATCCTGTAGAATGCTGCCGGCTAACGGCGGGCTGACCATCCCCGGTAGTGTAGCGAACGTGTTGCTGAGTCCCATGAGGATGCTCGCGTGTGGAGGTGCTATGTCCAGGTGATTCACACTGGTAACAAACACCGCTTATATCACATTAACTACCGCTTGTAACGTCGTTTCCCCTCCATTCGATCCCCCTTCCCCCTTCAAATTGATCTCCCGCTCGTAATTATGATGGCCCCGTGATTCAATCCCCTAGCGGTGCCTTCAGACTAAATTCGTGGATACGAACGATAATTACGGAACGATATTAACGATACTGACGGATCGTCAGGCGGGAGTTAGCCTGCAGCCGCTCCATAAGTCCTTCCGCGGGTTTAAAGTGCCATTTACACTCACCCCCTATCGTCCGGTGAAGCTGTTTAGGCCAGCTGCGGCAGTTTCGTTCACTTGGGATGTACCCATTTATTCCAAACAATAAATGGGCATGTGCCATTTAAATATATTATTCTAACATAAAATCTTACGATTACACAAAACGGTATTGCAATTACAACTTTTCTCTGCACAACCTGTGGTTGACTGGTAGAAAAAGCCGTAAGGCGTTAAGTCCGCCATATGTACTTTTACCTTGGTATTTTGTGCATTGAAGTTATATAAATAAATAAATAAATATTGCAGGTACAGTACTAAATACTACCCCACTTAAGATATTTATTTTATATACCTAAATCCAGACCAAGCGAACCCGCCAAGGCCGACCGCGATCGTTAGGAAGACGACGCACCCAACTACAGAACTCGAGTACGCGGCCGCCACCATGAAGATTGTCTGTAATTCATACATTAAAAATATTAGCAAAATAATATAATCTAATAAAATTGAATTGTTTGATTGTAATTACAAATTAACAGCTTTTCACTAATTTATACTTACACAAAAAATAATTTTATCATTTTCCCCTCCCTCCCTTTTGTCTCCCTCTGTTTTTACTAATCTCTGAAACGGCTGAATTTTGACGGGACTTTCACTCGCAGACATTTAATATTATAAGAAGTAATTATGGGTTACTCTGATTAAATAATTTTAAATTATTTTAATAAAAAAAAGAGGGTTAAATTCCACGCGGACGATATCGTGGTTAAACCGCTAAAGTTTTATAAAAAATAATTGGCTTGGCTTTTACCTGAGCAAGAAAACCGCCGCAGTTAAACAATTTCCTAATGTTAGTTCTGCTTATGATTCCTTTTCTTAGCAACCAGTCCGACAAATGGCCGGCCACTTGTAGTACGATGGCCATCGCTAGATACGGGATAGCTGCCACCCATCCAGTTTGTGACGTTTCGAACTTGAATACGTCTGAAAACAGATTTAATATAATAATTTTAGTACTAATAGTACTTTAGTAACTGATTTTTTAATTTTCTCAAAAATAATAACATATAATATCTTAGGACAACTCACACACCGCCATGTTGTCCCAAGCTAAACAGAGCTTGTCTTATGGGTACTAAATAACCTATATAAATAGATTTTTTTTGCAAATCCATACACATAGAAAACCTCTAGATAGATATAACCAATTATACTCATGAATACAAATAGCTATACAATGTGAGGAATCGAACCCATCCCCGTAATAATTAAGAATCAATTTTCTTTATAATACTCGTACATAAACTAATATAATAAGTAAACTGCGTCCGTCTATCTTTTTACAACAGATTTTAATGAATTTAGGGATGAAGATACATTTTTTAATGGATATATAATATGGAATAGAGCTACAGACTTCGTTATTGTATAATGATGAGGTCAGGTCACTTAGCCCATCGTGGCAAATTGACCATAAATTTATCAGGTTGGTTTCCAGAGGAAACTGTGTGGAGGTCAACCAGATATGGTATGTTGCTAATGGCTTCAACAGTCCACATTACTAATAATATCCATTAATATAGATTCTGTATTGTGTCTATTATCTCAAAAAATAAAAAGGAAATCGCAGGTTAAGTAATAAGTACGGTTATGAAATGAATCGTTTCAAATTGCTAGGGTTACGTAATCTCCTAGTTATTTTTTTAAATCTATACAAATGTACGATTTTATACACCTAAGTAGTTATTTAGACCCATTGTTAACTCAGTTTTGCTTATTATACTGACACGTTTAAGTCATTTGCATAATAGTTATGTAATTGTATTGTTAGAGACAAATAACAGTTTTTCATACAAGTTCTTGGATCTTAGACAATAAAACATTCATACACATATTTATTATATAGCCCAGAAGGGGCATTTCAACATTTCAGGCATTTTCAACTACTAACGTTGTACTGTATTTCATAATTGTTAAGTGCGAGCGTACCGCTGTCTCTCGGAATCTAATTTGCTATGATATTGATGCTTTTCATCACCGGATGGTCTAATCGTTACAGATTTTGGTTTCAAACAGATATCAACTCACGACCCTTGAGGTCTATGTATCGGGATAATAAACAACTAACCCAGGAAGTTATCAAAAATGTTATCACTCCGAAAATGAATTATTGACCGACAATTGGATGAGATGTTGAAATTGATTAGGAACAATTTGAAAAACTAAAGTTAGTAATCAAAACTAACTCAAGTTTTGATTACTAACTTTATTTTTCAATCAATATTGTTGACTAACTATCCCGGGCAAATTCACATTTATCAATATATTTCGTTCAATTTATATAGTATACGTATTTTTAAATTATAGTCTGTGTGTTATACTCATGTGTAATCTATATTACTGTATAATCTATATTAAGTTTCATCAAAATCCGTTCAGTACTTTTTGCGTGAATAAATAACAAACACCCATCCATACCCACAATTTTATGCGTTTATAATATTATTAAAATACACTAATAATTTTAAATACCTTTCATAAAAGTGGGTAGAAATGTGAGTAATGTGTAGAAACCCCAATTTTCACTGAAGTGCGCCATCACTATCGCCCACACCGGCGCTGACGTCAGCATCGCCTTCCACGGGTGACGGATCTGGGAGCCATCCACTGCTTGAGTGCCTCGTGAGTCCTGTAATTTAAATTTATTTAATCAGAACGATATTCATTTAAAAGAAGAACAAGCAAATTTCTTGCTCATTGTGTTCCTTATCATTGCGTAAGTATAAAACAAAGTCGCTGCCGCTGTCTGTCCGTCCCTATTTATGCTTAAATCTTTAAAATTACGCAACGGATTTTGTACGGTTTTTTTCATAGATAAAGTGATTCAAGAGGTAGGTTTATATATATAATACATGTAGGTACACCCGTACAAAGCCGGGGTGAGTAGCTAGTAACCTTATAAAATAAATTTAAGTGTGTGTAATTTGTTAACAAAGTTTTTGTAATTGAATGAACGTATGCCAGCTTAAATAATATCAACAAACAATTATATCTGTTTAAGGCTTCACGTTAAAACGGCTATATATACTAGCAGACCCGCGCAACTTCGTCTGCGTCAAACATACTTAATATACATACATCCGTATAATTATGAATCCATTCAGTAGTTTTTGCGTGAAAGAGTAACAAACATCTATCCACACTCACAAACATTCGCATTATAAACGCAAACTCCGTTCCGCCTCAAAATTAAATATGTCAAAGGCATTTGAAGTTTAGTCAAGCAATACATTTCTGAACGCACCCTGTTTGACAGGTATCAGCAGTCTGTATGGGAAAATAAAATAGTTGTTACTATTTTACATGCAATTTCTTCATATTTTATCAACGTTTATACGTTCCCTTGACTTTCACGAATATTTCAAGACTAAAATTAGCCAAGTCGGTTCACGAGTTTTAGCGAGACTAACGAACAACAATTCATTTTTATATATGAAGAAAATATAATATAATTAGGTCAGCTAGTACTGAAAATAGTTACCTGTATGTACTTTAGTTCGGCCGGTGTTATGTGAGGATCTTTCTCTGGTGATTCCTTTACGACGAGCCACCATATTGTAGTCCATACCAGACCGCAGATACCTGTATAATTCAACCTTCAAATCAATATATAATATAGCTATTAATTACAAGAACAATTTATATGCTTTCCGAATGACCGTTCTTCACTTTCCCGGCATCAGATGCTCATGAGATTCTGAGTACCTACTGGATATAATTATGTAATAAGTATATAACATAAAATATGTCACTCTATAATACTGTACCTTTCAAACAGTCAAACACAGAGCCATACAAACAATTAGGAAATACTCCGTACCAAATAGTATTAATATTCGCCCATACAATACCATGTCAGGCTACTTGTTTGTCATCTTCGGATTTTTTTGATATATTAATACATATCACTTAACAGATTTGATACATTGGTTACGCAATGTCGGATGATGTAGAAAGTTGGGATTTCAACCATATAGACTTTGTAAAAATTCTACCTTTAGTAATCTAAATTTAACCTCCACGCATGAGTGGTATCACAATGCATGTGCATTGACATTTACTGAAATGTGTAAACATTATATTAATACTCATGTATTAATATGATTGTAAAAAGGTGTACAAAGTTCTGCTTCATAGCAGAAACTTTGTACACCTTTTTACAATATTGCTCAGACGGAAGAGTATGAAAATTCGCATATTTATAGTTATAGAGAAGAAGTGCAGAATGCTATTTTTTTTAAATATTACATTTTTAATAATACACATTGCCATTTATTTGACGCACACGCGCATATAACAAAAGACTTTAACGATAGAATTTTCAATCATATAATTATGGTCGAATTGGTAATAAATATTGAAATTTGGAATAAATATTTGAGCATTGGGCGACTATTACTTAATCCAATTGCTACAAAATGTTTACTCAAACTGTTTTAAATCCAGTACTTACCAAAGACGTAAAATATACCGGGCCATCCTGTATATTTGGCGAGTAGTGAACACACAGGCATAGAGACAACGGTGCCGGCGTAGCTGCCGCTGAACGCAAGTGTTGCAAGCCGTGCGCGCTCTTCGCTCGGCGCCCATCGTGACCACACTGCATGAATGCACGGATACGTAACACCCTGTATAATGATAATGACAATATTTAAATTTAGAACTCATACCAATGTCATAATCGCCAGTGTTTTTATGTGTGAAAAATGGAATGGTGCACCCGTTTGCGCTAACCGTTTGCCGGCGAGGCATCAGTGTAAGATGATAAGATGGATATGAGGTCAGGTCAGTTAGCCCATTGTGACAAATTCACCAGGAATTTATTTTGATGGTTTTCAGGGAAGTCAATCTGACATGGTACATTCCTAATAATAGGGTTGATGACCTTACTAGTACATATTTCTAATAATCCTCTTCCTACATTCCCTCGTAGGGGAAAAGGATTGTTTTATTTTTTTTATTTTATTAATTTTCTAATATTACACAATATATTAGATATTAGTAAATTTGTGTAAATTGTATCACGGAGGACATGGTTTTTGTCTAAAAAAAGCAGACAAAGGTAACAGTTAGTATTATTATAATTTATTTCTTTTAATATACCAAAACTAAACTTTTAAATGACTAGAAATATTTTTATTATTGTAGGTTATTATATAGTTATTACATGTTTTTACAGTCATTAAACTAATGGCTAATTAAAGAGTCATGGACTAGTGGTTTACTAGCCGAAAATATATTTATTAAATTAGTAGTGAATTCAAATAAGGTCGACATAAAAAAACTATCAATTTATATGTCGCAGAATCAACAAAGAGGCTCAATTGATTAGTTTCTACTAGAATAGCGCCATCTATTATCGTTGTTGGAAACGTCAAGCGGTTTGCTTGGGTGAGGTCGGTACAGGGTAAAGCAGTTTTAACGGTAATTACGAAACGGCACTTTGGAATTGGGGTCGAGCGCGAGAGGTTGTTCTTCACTCTGTACCGAACTTGCCGCGTTTTAATCCGTTTGCATCTGGCTGATCGTTGTTAAATTTATTATTTTGTTATCGGGAGTGAGTTAATAGACAATTATACTTTAAATCCAGACTATTATTTCTTGCCTACACCATGCCCAACATGGGTTCTGATGACGAGGTATCCCAAGTAGAGGAACTACCCTCGTTATCAGAAGTGGGATGCAACTCAAACGCCCCACGTGGTGTAAGTGACAGTGCTAACCAAGAAAAGTGCAAAGACAGTGCGCACGTGCTTGAAGGTAACACAGAGACGGAAAAATGGCGTTTTCTGTTAGAGCAGCAAAACAGAAACTTTATGGCTATCGTGCAGGCCATGAAAACTCCTTCTGCGACTGTAGATGTTCGCCTACCGGATTTTGACCCTGAAAAACGGAATGTTGAACCGCGTGCTTGGCTGGCAACAGCAGACATGTGTGTGTGCGATCCGAGTAGTCAAGGTGCGTCATTAATGATTGCCTTGAGCCGTGCACTCAAGGGAGAAGCCTCATCATGGTTGTCGTCCATATCTTACCCTGGGATGAAATGGAACGATTTCAAGGAACTGTTTATAGCCAGGTATGATTGTCCTGAGACTACTGCTTCTTTTCTAATCAATCTACATGGAAACAAACCTAAGGAGAACGAGTGTTTGGCTGCATATGCAGCTACCCTCATGACAACCATCATGTCTAAATGGAACGGCCTCACGATGGAGCAGATTGCTATCGCGACGGTGCTGGCTCATATCGCGAAGAATGATACGCGGGTCCAGCGATTGTCTTTTACTACCGACATCAAAACCCGCAACGATCTACACCGAGAACTGAAGGCTGTTTCGTTTCTGAAGAGGAGCGCCCCATCTGGTGGTGATGAACGTGAAGGTCCTGACGCGAAAAGGAACCGACCGAATTGGCCCAACGCTGTGCCCAAGTGTTTCAACTGTGGGAAACCAGGACACAGATTGGCGCAATGTCGCTCGAGGAGAGACCCAAAGGCACATGAAGAGCAATCGAGGACGACGGCGTCTAGCAGCGGCAGAAGTAACCAGACACCAGGGAGAGCCGATTGGATCACCTGCTTCAATTGCCGCGAACAAGGACACTACGCCTCCAACTGTCCTAAGAGGAGCACCACGGTTGATCCCGCCAAGGAGAAGCGAGTTGATGTGTGTCTTGTGGAGGCACCTACTGGATCCTTATGGCATTCTGGTGAGCAATTTTATTTTTATTATGACTCTGGTGCTGAGTGTTCGCTTGTTAAAGAATCTATGTCCTGTAAATTTAGTGGTAAACGAATTTATGAAAATGTCATTGACTGGTATTGGACAGACTTCTATTAGGTCGACTGTACAAATTTTGACTACTGTTGAGATTGACGGAATTATTTTTGAAATTCTTTTACACGTTTTACCTGACATTTGTTTGCGATATGGAATTATGATTGGACGTGAGGTATTATCAATTGGTCTAATAGTTCATATATCATCAGATAAGATACGATTTGAGAAAATACGGACAGTTCAGACATGTGACCTGGTAGTTGACTATAAAGACTTTGACACGATAGACACTGACGTTCCTCTTGAAAGAAAATCTGAATTATTGGATATTTTGCTATCTTTCAAAAATTGTTTTATTTCCGGTGTACCTACATCCCCTGCAGATACTGAACCCATGCAAATTCGCCTTATAGACTCCCATAAACTGTTAATCGACGTCCCTATAGGTTGAGCCCCGAGGAACGACAGGTTGTACGTAGCAAAATCGATGAATTGCTTAAGGCCAATATAATTCGCTGTAGTTCATCACCGTTTGCGAGTCCTATTCTTCTCGTTAAAAAGAAGGATGGCACGGATAGAATGTGTGTGGACTACCGCGAACTGAATGACAATACGGTACCTGATCGATTCCCATTACCGCTTATCTCTGACCAAATAGCCAGGTTGCGTGGAGGCCATTTCTTCACCATTTTAGACTTGGCGTCAATCCGCATTTCAAATGAATCTATAGAACGAACAGCTTTTGTGACGCCCGACGGGCAATTTGAATATTTGACCATGCCGTTCGGACTTCGAAACGCTCCCTCGGTGTTCCAGCGAGCTCTCATTCATGCGCTTGGGGATTTGGTGAATACTTATGTTGTAGTCTACATGGACGACGTGCTCATTGTCGCAGAAAACGTTGCCGAGGCTCTTGAGCGACTTCAGATAGTTCTTGGGGTCCTTTCAGATAAGGGATTCTCGCTTAATCATAAGAAATGTGCCTTCCTAAAACAGAAAGTGGAGTACCTCGGATTTGAAGTCAGTCAAGGGCAGATACGACCTAATCCTCGCAAAGTTGTTTGATATTACCACCACCCCAGACGGTATTATTGGTTTAGCCTCATACTTTCGTCAGTTCATAAGTTATGGCCCCGCTGTATACTTTGACCTCCGGTAATGGTCGGATCGAATGGAAACCCGAGTATGAGACCATAAGACAACAAATTTCTATTCTAACTAGTCAGCCAGTGTTATCGATTTATGATCCAGTACTAAAGACAGAGTTGCATACGGATGCGAGTGCGATTGGATATGGAGCCGTTCTTGTCCAGGTAAAAGAAGGTAAGACACATGCTGTTGCTTATTTCAGTAAGCGCACAACAGCTGCAGAGTCTAAGTATCACTCATACGAATTGGAGACCCTCGCTGTAGTCAACGCAGTTAAGCATTTCCGACATTATCTGCATGGTCGCAAATTTGACGTGGTCACAGATTGCAGTTCGTTGCAGTCGACTCGTAAGAAAACCGACCTAACGCCACGTGTTCACAGATTGGGCCTTCTTGCAAGCCTTTGACTTCGACGTTGTTCATCGTAGTGGTAAGCGAATGTCTCATGCAGATTTCTTTTCAAGGAATCCATTACCAGATGACGGAGAATCGAGAAGGTAAGCTGTAAACAAATTAATTTAGCCGAACTGAACGACAACTGGTTGATTGCAGAACAACAGAAAGATGGGGAGCTTTCGAAGCTCTTATCCGACTTGAAGGACGGAAAACTTCCTCCTGATGTAGCTAAGACCTATGAGCTTCGATCAGGCGTTTTGCATCGTAAAATTCAACGACGTGGTAGGACTCTGTGCCTTCCAATAATTCCAAGGACGTTTCGGTGGTCTATTATAAACAATGTACACGAAGGCTTGCTGCACCTTAGAAAAGGTTTACGAACTTTACTGGTTTGACAAAATGACGATGTACGAAAGTTTGTAGACAGCTGTGCTACGTGCAAAATTTCTAAGTCACATTCTGGCAAAGTACAGGCAAAAATGCACCCCATTCCTAAGGTAGCTATACCTTGGCACACCGTACATATTGACTACGGGAAAACTAAGCGGCAAGGATGACAGGAAGGAGTATGTGTTTGTGCTTGTAGAATAAGTACGTATTACTTCACCAACGCTAAACATTGACACAGCTAGTAGTATTAGGGCTTTGAAATCTAGTGTTTCACTATTTGGTGCGCCCAACCGTGTAATCGCCGACCAAGGTAGGTGCTTCTCCAGCAAAGACTTCAAGGACTATTGCGAGTCTGTTAACATTAAGCTTCACCTAATAGCGACAGGTAGTTCGAGGGCCAACGGCCAGGTGGAGCGCGTCATGAGCACATTGAAAAATATGCTTACTGCAATAGAAACAAGTAGTCGCTCGTGGCAAGATGCTTTGCCTGACGTGCAGCTGGCTCTCAACTGCACGATGAATCGAGTCACACAAGCCAGCCCCTTAGAACTTCTCATTGGGAGGGTTGCGAGGCCTTTAGATGTCCTATCAGTATTGGATGACGACCACGTAGTCGATATCGAGCAGGTAAGGTCACAGGCTGTGGAGAATATGGAGAACGGCTCAGCTTTGTACGTTTTGATTCTACCAAAGCTAAATTACAACCATTTACTATTGGTGACTTTGTACTGCTGCAAAATGAAGAACGAAATCAGACAAAGCTCGATCCTAAATACAAAGGGCCTTTTAAAATTGTAGAGTTACTGGAAGGAGACCGGTATGTACTCAAAGCTCTCAATTCGAATCGGACGTATAAGTATGCGCACGACCGTCTTCGAAAAATGCCTGATAGTGATAATTTTGACGACAAGGACTCTGACACTGACTCTAACCATGACTGTAGCAAAACTGACGAGACAAGACCGACTGACGAGACAGGACCGGCTGACAATGAAGGTGACCTTATGTGAGGAATGGGAAGAAGCAAATGCAGTATGCAAGTGACTCGGATTGCGTGCATTTCGATGTTGTTCGTGGCTGCGAGCCTAAGTGTTTACTTAAGGTTGGTGGCCAATGTCGGCATGGTGATGTAAGTAACTGCTAGGGTGCCAAGTAGGTGTAGTGTGTTGTGATCGGGTACCGGATGGAGGTCCCGTTGAGTTGCCGGATGGAGGCAATGTGTTGTGTTGTGATCGGGTACCGGATGGAGGTCCCGTTGAATTGCCGGATGGAGGCAATGTGTTGTGTTGTGATCGGGTACCGGATGGAGGTCCCGTTGAATTGCCAGATGGAGGCATTGTGTTACAGAGACTTGGTACCTAACAGAGCATTGCATACTGGATTTGATTGGAATGTTTCACGATTTTTTCTGAATATTGATTATGATTATGAACCTTATGTGAAATTATCAAACTGTGGTGATTATTTGCGATATTGAGATTCCCTTTATAAGATTTAGAGAGACTGTGTGAATCAAAATAAAATTGTGTGACTTTGTTTTCATCATCATTACATATCGGTCAGGGAGGCCGAGCAAAGGACGTTTTACTTTCCGTGAATTCTTGTTTCAGATGCTTCACACGAGGACGTGTGAAATGTCAAGATGGCCGTGTCGCAGAATCAACAAAGAGGCTCAATTGATTAGTTTCTACTAGAATAGCGCCATCTATTATCGTTGTTGGAAACGTCAAGCGGTTTGCTTGGGTGAGGTCGGTACAGGGTAAAGCAGTTTTAACGGTAATTACGAAACGGCACTTTGGAATTGGGGTCGAGCGCGAGAGGTTGTTCTTCACTCTGTACCGAACTTGCCGCGTTTCCCCGACTAATCCGTTTGCATCTGGCTGATCGTTGTTAAATTTATTATTTTGTTATCGGGAGTGAGTTAATAGACAATTATACTTTAAATCCAGACTATTATTTCTTGCCTACACCATGCCCAACATGGGTTCTGATGACGAGGTATCCCAAGTAGAGGAACTACCCTCGTTATATATTTAAGTATATTTGACTCTCCGGTGAAGAAAACATCTATAAATTAATCCGAGAGATGGCGGCAGAACTACCCCCGCCTCTTTTCTTAGAATCAAAATTATACCGGGCAAAATATTGGCATGTCAAGTGTTGCGTTCACTAAAGCATCGACAGTTAACAATGCCTCCGACTATAAAACATATATTTCAGTCATCAATATCAAATTCCTTAACACAAGTGCTCAAAACAAAATCACTTCAGCAATATAAAATTACCCAACCCAAAACACTGGGCAAATGCGAGAATACACTATAATTACGCAAATGCAAGAGATATTCATAAGTATGCACATTGCTTTAAAAAAATGTCTCTGTCTTTTCCATTTTGGATTACGGATTGTAAACCGTATGTTTCATTTTTATTAATTAAACACACGCAAATGGTTGCAATTAAACACATCTATAATATAGAAAGGTATATATACACAATATAATAGTTTAGTGAAACTAATAACCCACTAACTACTCTACAAATCCTTTGTTTAGCAGTCAAACCCTTACGGTGGGCCTAATTGCGGTATAAACATTTGACTTGGTTGATTTCTTTCTTGATGGAATGGAACAAGAAAATAAGTAGTTAGTACTTCTGCAACTTCAATAGTCGCTGTGTTTAGATCTTATATTAGTTTATTGGTATTTTATCGATGATAATATATATAGATGATAGTGTACGCTGGCGGGGCACCAGTCATGAGCAAGAAGTCAAGTCAGTTAATCAGCGAATTAATCACTATGGTTTGGCCAGTAACCACTATGGTCAACCTGATTGCTGACAATGCACTGATATAGCAATAGAAATAGTAGTAGAAGTAAGACTTTCATTACTAGGTACTATTAATGATTAGTCTTTTAGATAATACCTGCTACGTATACATACCTCAAATAGTCCTTCAACTACCCTCACGGCAATTAGCAAGGCTGTACTTGTGTACGCTAGTGGCGGGGTCAACAATGTCAGGAGTGACGTCGCTCCTATCCCAATGGCAAACACTCTGAAAATAAAGAATAGGATAGAAATTATAATTATTCGAATACACTTAACATTGAATAGTATTTTTTTTATTCTATAGCCGCATTCAGCCTGCAGATTAATTCAAGATGAGACGAGCAAGGTAACTTTGCTGGTGCTATTGTGAAAAGTTTATGTTTATAATGTTGTGCTAATACAAACTATTAAATGACTAACGTACTATCAATATATTAAAAATACAATTACAAAAAAATATATAATATAATGGACTAATTATATTATATATTTTTTTATTTAATTGACTAATTACAGCTGAGTTTTTATACAATCAATTTTGGAAACAAGATTTTGCGCCTGTTTCTTATCACAGTAAGAAGGATAAGAAGAATTGCATACATTATTTTGCCAATAATAAACCAAATATACTAGGAAAATACTTCTGCCTACTTCGACAAAACTATGGTGTGATGATAAAATATTAAATAATTAAGTACTATAATTTAAAGAATGCATGTGTAATCTGGATATATATTTATATTAAATGTGTTTGTGTTTTAGGAAATGGAACGAACCTGTTACCTCCTATTTTAGCAGCGAGCCAGCCGCCAGGTAGCTGGGTGATCAGGTATCCATAGAAGAAGGAACTGAGAATCAACCCCTTGGTTTGTGTGCTCCAATCAAATTCTGGTACCTAAAGTGAACCAAATGTAGGTTTTTTTTATAGACGTAAGTACATGTGTATCGATTGATTTAAAAAAAAATGTTCTGTTTTCATTAATAATGCGAAAATACTAATGCTACCTGTAGAATAACAAATAAAATTATCCGCTTTGAAATCTATTAGTCTATTGGTTGAGATGTGATCTGTGATATTCGAGGACAAATACATGGTTCAATAATGTTTTCCGAATAAATACTGTCTTCATGAGGTCTACCTATTTTTTGATAAATAAATGTGAAGTCAGCAGGAAAATATTGCTTTGATTTTATGAACCGTCAGTCAATTATTGTTACAAATGTGTAAGTTCGTAATGACAGAATTAAATTTAAATCTAAAATGAAAATTAACTGGAATCGAATTTGAGTGAAAATTTGTACACAGATAACCTATAATAAACCTTAAAATATAGGTGATATTATTCCTAATTTTTAATAGATACGGCCGCGTACCATTGTCAAAAATATTTAAATTAATCTTTACATAGTCTAAAATGAAGTTGCTTCCATTGTTAGTTTCGCTTATCTTTTAAACTACGCAACGGATTTTAATGCAGTTCTTAGCAAGGGATATAGATTCAAGAGGATGGTTTATATGCATAGTACATGTACACCAGTGCCCAGCCTGGGTGTGTATTAAGTAGCTAGTAAGGTATAAAACCGAAATAATCATAAAACCGCTTAATAATCTTAATTATGTTTACGGAATTTTTCAATACCGCCGAAACTAAGGACATAAACAATAAGCCATAAATATTTTTTAATATACATCGTTCCTGCACACTACCCCAAGTCACATACGAGGGATTATATCGGGTCAAATTTTTATAGCCTCTCAAAATCGAGAGGGTTTTCATGACCCTGTTATTGGTGATTTTACCTTACACACTTGTAGATTATAGTCGAATATCAATCTTATATCGAATGCAATAAGGATCGAAACGGTTGCTATTGTTAAAAGACAACATCGTATAAACAGTGTAGTACATTTCCTACGTAGTACTCAGTGCATATATGTCTCGTGATATCCTTGGTTTTTAACTGACGGAAAAACGACGAGAGCCGTAAGTAGATTTTATGTATGTCCACGTATAATTCTTTATAGGATAATCCGAATTGACTTTTTTTTTATATACCGTTAGCTATCATTATGTAGCGCGGTGGTTATCACCTCATCACGCGTTATATATGATGTGATGAGGTATCGTTACAGTGAGTATACTGGTGAAGTAATTGTATTTCTTTTACATTAGTAAGTTTATTGGATAGTGTGTTACATGGCTTATTAGTAACGCGTACATTCGACGCAGAGTCGAAACGTGGACATGTTTTTTATGTGGAGACGAAAACTAATAGAAGGGTCTCAAGTATTGATAGAAATATTACAAGTGTAGGTACAATTTAATATATATAAATAAAAATAATAAAGTACGGTACTGATAGACGTGATATTGAAATAAAAGTTTTGAAAATATTGAAAAGATACTGCGCTCTTTTTTAAGAGGAATTAGAAAAATAAATGAAGTTAGAATTCTAAATGTTATTTTAACCTTAAAGTTTTTATTTATAACTTCGAAAAAGAAGAATCTTAAATCATTTGGTGCTATAAAAATATTTGATGAAAGCTGTTATTTTTAAAATGGGTTTTCTATTGTCCATTGATTATACAAAAATAGATAGTCCTGTAGGAAAATTAAAAGGTTAACTCTACAATAAAGTGAAACATTATTGTTTCATAATTTAATACTGTCTCAAATTGACTTCTTTTATCAAATTTTTCTATTTTGGTATTTGTGGGTTCAATGAAATTCACCGAGTCCCTGTTAAGGTCCTAGTGAAGACATTTAAAGTGAATTTTTAATAAAATTCGAAGCTCTAAGATTAAAAGTAGTAGTAAGTGTCGCTAAACATTAATGGATGTCCATTGGCAGGTTGTTTAAACACGTTATGTATTGAATGTATGCAATAGTAATAAAAATATACTGCAGTACACTAAACCCAGGCCTCTGCGGTGATATCCGATACGCTCCGTGAGTTTTATAGATCGTATCACATTATTAAGTTGCGAAAGGAAAATTCGTGAGTACTTTTATAGTGAAAACAGCGCAATAATACAATAACCGTAATGATATTCATAATAAAAATCAACGATTAATTCAAAAAATTAATCAACGATCGGTTATGTTAAGCATAATAATGATGATACCAATATCTTTAGTATTTATTATTATTATACAGGAGCAGCTGGTGAAAATAAAAGTAATGAAAGCATGGACTTACAGTATCTTTAATAATGTTTCTGCTAGACTAGGAGACGAACCTATAGTATAAAATGAACTCCGAGCTTCCGATGTCTGTTCGCTTAGATCTTTGAAAATACGCAATGGATTTTAATGCAGTTTTTAGCAATAGATAGAGTGATTTAAGAAGTAGTTTTATATGTATAATACATAAATACCCGTGCGAAGTTATGTACAAATTATTTTCAATTAAAAATATACCTAATAATACCGAGGTAGATTTTGTAGAAAGTCGTCTGCATATACGTCAGTTGTACCAAAGTCACGTCTATTTCTGTATATAGTGACTCATGTAACAATCAGTTTCGTTTGTAAGTTGTGTATGGGTTGAAGGGTGAGAATGGGTCAGTTAAATTACGCATAACATACTCGTATTAGTCCTTCGGTATGGCAACGCTTCGTATGACGTAATGTCCGTATTGCTGTTTATGTACATAGGCAACGGTTATAGTATAAAAATTTACTCACAAATACAATAGTCCCATTATCCAGCTTGGTCTCGATGGGTTCCGTCATGGCGACAACCGCCACTGACAAGTTGACCCTTAGTGCGTACACGTTGAAAAACCCGAAGAATGCCAGGAGCGCAACCAGGTATCGTCTGTGCCGGAAGACACATCGTGATTCGCGGTCCTCTTTTATATAATCTCTGGAAAAAAACGTTTGTTAATAATTAATGCTGGCCTTTACAGCTTCACTGGACGATAGTTGACGAGTGCAGATAGCACTGCAAAACTGCGGAAGGACTGAAGGCCACCTCTCTTCTGATGGATTTGACTTTAGTTTGAGGGCACCGCTAGGTTTGAACCTCGGCTCAGGCCATTGTAATTTTGATGCCCGAAGTATCGTAAATATAGGGTAAAAAGTATATAGGGCAGCCGTAGTTTATTAATGTCGTGAAGTCATTAAATAATAACATTAATAATAATTTTTTTTTTGTCAAATAGTTGTGTACAATTTTTTGTTTATTATAGCCTCATAATGGGTAAATCTAGTTTTAATTAATAATACCACACTATGTTCATTTTAATTGTCTACCAAGATTTTGATGCAGATATGTTTCCCAACAATGTGCCCTACAAAATAATATATTGCACGTAATAAATACTAAACTGAATTAACTCAAAAATTGCGTATGTTCGAAAATCAACTTTAATATTTTTGAATTTATCATCAATATTCCAGAACGCGTTATTTTAGAGTTTACGCTGTTTAGTCTTATGTTTCGATATACGATGTACGAAGCTGCTTAGTACATAACTACATACATATAAGCAAGACAATACAAACGCAGATGACTTCGTACTAGCGTTTCCGCTAATAGACTTTGTACTAAAGTCTCTAGTAATACGCTGAACATCGACAAATTACATTTTATTGCCTCTCTCAAGTACAATGCAATAATGCAAAGAAAAATAAAAGATAAACTGATACAAAGTTACCAGTTATTGTAATAAAAATTCAATATACAATGATAACAAATCGTTTCATTCATTTATAATTTAAGAGCCACGCTCTTGTCGGTGGAGCTATTGTCACTTTTCACGATCTTCCATCATACTCTTTAAACATTTATACGTCACGACTCCAGTTTTTATATTATGTATAGATAACTTTGCAGTTGCAATTGCGAACCGCCAGTAAATGTAACTCTGATAAGGTTTGAACTGCGTCACACGATTAAGTTTAAGATAACTATGTATATGTACCAATACTTAACAAATGTAATTAAAACTGTTAAATCTAGGAAATAATAAGAATAATAGCTGTCGAAAATTCACATTTAGTCCCAAGGTAAGCAAAGCTTGTGTTATTGGTACTAGACAACTGATATAAATAATTAAATATATTTTTTGTAAGTAAATACATAATATATATAGAAAACATCTAGAACGATAAAAATAACAATCATACGCATGGATATATATATTTGTACTTTGCGAGGAATTGAACTGCTACCATCGAAAGTAAAGCGATGTGCTAAACCGCTAGACCACCGAGCCCATCAATGATGCCGAGGAAATGAATTACTTAATATAACAAGTGAGATAAATCATTACAGTTGCAGTACTCGTAATCTATTGCTAATTACGGTATGAGTTTAAAATTGTACGCAGTAATATCAAGATCAAACCTTATTGACGAACTATAAATATTTAGCTATCACAAATATTTTACTATTTGCAGATTAACTGATTACGTAGTACTAAACTTACCGTGGTTTATCTAGCAAATAATTTGATAAAAGTTAGGTATTAATCAATACACGAGAAGTGGGTCCTATTGTTTTATTAGATTTTGGTATAATTCAATTACCATAGCCTACTAATAATAATAAAAAAACTTGGTATGTAACATAATCGCTTGAATTAAATTGCATGTATTAATTTATTCATCATTCATCTTTATTTCAATGTAATTGCGTTTAATTGTATATGTAGTATGTAGGCTCGTGTCCTGACTCGTTGGATTCAAATATAAACCGGCGTAACAAGGGAACGTCAAGTGTTGCGTTCACCACAAAATTGACCGTTGACATTGCCTCCGACTATCCCATCTAGGATACTAGTCGTGACGGTATGTTTGTATGTCAGGTGACATTTCTCCCAACGGAACTCAAGTCATTCCCTTATTAACATCCTCCACTAGGGGGGGAAAGGGGATTGTTAGTAATGTGGAGTAATTACCCCATTGCTAGCAATGTACCATGTTAGGTTGACCTCCACGCAGTTCCCCCTGGAAACCTTCGTGATAAATTCTTAGTGAATTTGTTACGATGGGCTAACTGACCTGACCTCATGTTCATCTTATCATCCTCCACTGGTGCCCCGCCAGCGTAATCCGTTAGCGCAGGCGGGTACACCATTTCATTATCATATACAAAAAAAAAACATCCTCCACTGTTAAATAAAAGATAAAAAAAACATCCTGCATGCGAGTGCATCCTTATCATCCATTAAAAATACTATGTTAAAATAGTAGGTAGGATGTATACTTTGCAAAACTGTTGCTTCGTTTCTCACTCCATAACAATAATAATAGCAAAACGGATTTAATTGATTTGTAGCTCCCAGATAGATGATATTCTGGAATAACGACCATATCTATAAAAATAAATAAAGCTGAAGTGTCCGTTTGTAATTTGATATTAATATGTTTTTACTTTTATATTAATATGTGTTACTTTTATTTCAGAAATTTAATTCCACGCCGACGAAGTTGTGTGTAGCTATACAAATAAAAAAAAACTGCTAGCTTAAGTATAAAGCTAGTGTTTTTATGATATTAATATAGATGTAGATATGGGTATCATTTTTACGTTTCAAACCGTATAACCATCAAATTTTATTCGAAGCTTAATAAAAAGTATATTGCGAAAAAATCGGCACCTAAGTCCATTATATGAGATAATGTATTTTACGGAGATAACACCCACGCCATCTGCACGATCCTTAAGTGTTTTAAGAGATTAACCGTTTTTTAAAAACAGAAGGAAATGAGACTTCTTAATTATAAGTACTGAGTTGATATTCTTACTTACGGGTAACAAATCACGTAACAAATTATATTTAAGAAATATTAATATTTCGGTGTTTATGCTATACACATATAGAGATTTATAAAAAATGTAATTGACAACGAATGCAGCATAATATTTTGAACCTTACGACATTCATCATCACCCGAAAGGAAGAAGAGATAATCACTTAATCGGTATTTATTCTTGTATCTTGCAAACTATATAATATAATAAAGGTGGCTGAATCAAAATTATATTTACAGGCTTGTGTTCTCTACTACATAACTCGACTTAAGACAGAAAGACGTTAGTTTAATGTAACCGACACCAAAATATTGTATATCAAATTAAAATTCCGATAACACTCCCGTGAAGGAAATGGGAAACATCGATAACGAACCCGGAAAATTAATCCGAGATAAGGAAGCTGGTTCGGGGTCCGGTCTAAGGCGGATTCAAACAGGAACATAGTAAAGAAAGCCACCTTGTGGTTGAAATAGGTGATAGAAGAATTCATGAAGAAGACTGTAAATTCTACTTTAGTACTTTCAATTTACCGTACTTCCTAATCTTTCAAATATTATAAAATGCGGAAGTTTGTGAGTGTGGATGGATGGTAATAAACATCTCTCTCTTTCACACAAAAATTACTAATTGGATTTTAATGAAATCATCAGTAAAACACATTTACAAATTTTACGCAGATGTAACCGCGGACACAGCTAGTATTCAATAAAGACCGCCAGTATGTATATTGTTTACGGCCGTATCAAGTTTTTAGAGCATATCTAATTAATAGAGAGCTCTGTTATAATTACATTTATCCTACAATTAATATTAAATGAGATTAATTGTAACTTTATTGGTTACATATTACATATAATACCGCTGTTGTTACTAAGCCTCTATAATTGATTCAATTAAATATAATATCAGTAAATCTACCTTACTGGGGGAAGGGGGTAGTAACCCCATTGCTAGTATAATATCAGGTAGACTTCAACGCAAGGAGAACCCCCCTATAAACCATAGTGGTCACTTACTTTTGAATTTGTTACGCCCACCTAACTGACCTGAACTCGTGCTCATCGCTTTTATTCTCAACACAAAATTCCTAATAATTAATTACATTTATTTCAAACAGCAACACACATTTCATTCTCGTTCTTCTCGCGATGAGCCTGCGTTCCAAATGAGTGGTAGAATAAAAAAATATGACTAATCAAATTTTATATTAAGTTTATTTGAGTAACGATGATTTTTATTTCATATCATCCTCGACTAGTGCCCCGAGTATTCCATCATCAATGATGATCATGAAGATTCATCATGTATTGAAGGCGCATATAATCTACTAAATCTACATTATTAAGGTAATTGATAGGACAGTGAAATTCCGCAGTATAGAAGCACGATACCTTAGTTACGAAAAATAGCAACGCATGAGGTTACCTCGGGCGTTACATTATGTGATGATATTCAATTTTTACCTTTCGTTCAGGTGGGCCGTCAATATGTTTACATCCATTATGTGACAAGTAATAGTAGAAAAAAAATACATTACCGTGTATTAGATAGCTATTCATAGAGCGTTGTACATTCGGTAGAAAATCTTTTATTCCTTATCAATTACAGACTTTTATAAGAACTGCTACGTACAAAACAATAATTATTCCTTAAAGATAAGAAACACATAAACAACATCTTGAGGACGTGGTTCAGTGAAAATGAGAAAAAACCCGGTCGCATGACCGTAACGGATGTCTAGTTTTTAATCTACAGGGTATTGATTGTGTGAAGAGCAGAACGAATTACTATTTCAGAGCTATTGTTGAATATCGCAAATTATTTATCATCAAAAATTGAAGATAAATTTTAATTTTGAACTCTATAATTATTAGTTACAACATAGGACAAACAAGCTGACGGATCGTCAATAGTAAGTGGTACGGTCGCCTTTATACGTTGAGAGTACCACGATATCACAAAATTCATTGTACTTTGTGATGTCGTGGTACAACCATTCTAAACACTCGGTTTTGACTATACATACCTACTACCTGAATATAAAACAGATTACGAAGGTTAATATGTTAATAGCGTAATTGTTTAAATATCGTATTTACACG